CCCCCTCACCCCCACCACCTTCCCCTACACAGTTTAAAATGTAGATATGATAGAGCCCAATAGGTTCAGGAATACAACAACACCAGTTGATTGACAGTTGAGAGGCGGGACTAAAGTGCCGACGCTCAACCCCCGCAAGCACAACTAGGTGAGTACATTACTGTAATCTCAGTTAAACAAAAATGCAGCCAAGTTATAAGTAGAGAATTGATGAAACAATTATACCAATTAGAATATTTTGACAATGAATACGCAAGGAGATAGGCAGGAGGAAGTTAAATAATTAAGGGAGCACATGGTAACGTTAAAGAATATTTAGTGTTGAGACTGACCGCTACACTGTGGAGGGATCCATCGTTGATGTGTGTGAGGCTCAAGTTTGAGGAGAAGGTTTGGCCGGAGGGTAACATGACCCTTGCCTGAGCTGATCCTTCAAACACTGATGTGCTGGGACGTCTGTATTCTCCATTAATACTGGCCTCACTCTCTAACAGCCGGAGGCTCCAAATAAAGGTATTCCCCCTGAAAAGCGAAAACAAATATATATCATAATATGAAGTATATATTTGTGTGATAGTCTGCACCTAGAGTACATGTCAGTTATTACCGGAAGAGAACACAGTTCTTTCCTGTTTTATATAAATACTTTATCACATATTAGTTTAAAACTTTCAAGTGTTTTGGATCACATTGTACCCAAGAAGTTTACTCAAACCTTTTGCCACTAATTAAGGACAAAATCCGGGAACAATTTTCTGTCTGTTACTCATAACAAGAATAGTGCAAAATATCTTAATTCTGTTTGTTCAGATGTCCCGGTGCGAGAAAATACTATAAATATCATATATCATATCATAATATTTTGAAAATATCATATCTCTGTTTTCCTTCACTCCAAAATTTTTGTTAGATGCCGCAATCAATTTTTTTGAAGCTCATGTTTTTTTTTTTTTAACTATAGGAGCGATTGTGTGTAATGTCTCTGACCTTTTTCCAAGTTACTTTTGAGTCTTTGGGTATGTAAACACTGCTACAGCTTCCTTATGTGTGGCATCACTACAGCTTCCTTATGTGTGGCATCACTACAGCTTCCTTATGTGTGGCATCACTACAGCTTCCTTATGTGTGGGCACCTCTACAGCTTCCTTATGTGTGGCATCACTACAGCTTCCTTATGTGTGGCATCACTACAGCTTCCTTATGTGTGGCACCACTACAGCTTCCTTATGTGTGGGCACCTCTACAGCTTCCATAAGTATGGGCACCACTACAGCTTCCATAAGTATGGGCACCTCTACAGCTTCCTTATGTGTGGCATCACTACAGCTTCCTTATGTGTGGCACCACTACAGCTTCCTTATGTGTGGCATCACTACAGCTTCCTTATGTGTGGCATCACTACAGCTTCCTTATGTGTGGCATCACTACAGCTTCCTTATGTGTGGCATCACTACAGCTTCCTTATGTGTGGCATCACTACGGCTTCCTTATGTGTGGCATCACTACAGCTTCCTTATGTGTGGCATCACTACAGCTTCCTTATGTGTGGCATCACTACAGCTTCCTTATGTGTGGCATCACTACAGCTTCCTTATGTGTGGCACCACTACAGCTTCCTTATGTGTGGGCACCTCTACAGCTTCCATAAGTATGGGCACCACTACAGCTTCCATAAGTATGGGCACCTCTACAGCTTCCTTATGTGTGGCATCACTACAGCTTCCTTATGTGTGGCATCACTACAGCTTCCTTATGTGTGGCATCACTACAGCTTCCTTATGTGTGGCATCACTACAGCTTCCTTATGTGTGGGCACCTCTACAGCTTCCATAAGTATGGGCACCACTACAGCTTCCATAAGTATGGGCACCTCTACAGCTTCCATAAGTATGGGCACCTCCACAGCTTCCATAAGTATGGGCACCACTACAGCTTCCATAAGTATGGGCACCTCTACAGCTTCCATAAGTATGGGCGCCTCTACAGCTTCCATAAGTATGGGCACCACTACAGCTTCCATAAGTATGGGCACCTCTACAGCTTCCATAAGTATGGGCACCTCCACAGCTTCCATAAGTATGGGCACCACTACAGCTTCCATAAGTATGGGCACCTCCACAGCTTCCATAAGTATGGGCACCACTCCAGCTTCCATAAGTATGGGCACCTCTACAGCTTCCATAAGTATGGGCACCTCTACAGCTTCCATAAGTATGGGCACCTCCACAGCTTCCATAAGTATGGGCACCACTACAGCTTCCATAAGTATGGGCACCTCCACAGCTTCCATAAGTATGGGCACCACTCCAGCTTCCATAAGTATGGGCACCTCTACAGCTTCCATAAGTATGGGCACCTCTACAGCTTCCATAAGTATGGGCACCTCTACAGCTTCCATAAGTATGAGCACCTCTACTGCTTCCATAAGTATGGGCACCTCTACAGCTTCCATAAGTATGGGCACCTCTACAGCTTCCATAAGTATGAGCACCACTCCAGCTTCCATAAGTATGGGCACCTCTACAGCTTCCATAAATATGGGCACCTCTACAGCTTCCATAAGTATGGGCACCTCTACAGCTTCCATAAGTATGGGCACCTCTACAGCTTCCATAAGTATGGGCACCTCTACAGCTTCCATAAGTATGGGCACCTCTACAGCTTCCATAAGTATGGGCACCTCTACAGCTTCCATAAGTATGAGCACCTCTACATCTTCCATAAGTATGGGCACCTCTACATCTTCCATAAGTATGGGCACCTCTACAGCTTCCATAAGTATGGGCACCTCTACAGCTTCCATAAGTATGGGCACCTCTACAGCTTCCATAAGTATGGGCACCTCTACAGCTTCCATAAGTATGGGCACCTCTACTGCTTCCATAAGTATGGGCACCTCTACACCTTGCCCTCGTGCTCAATCATTACCTTTGTATTTGCTCTGCATCATTGCAAGCCGGCATGGAGGGGTCGGCTCTAGTCACAATTTTCCCTACTACTACAATGGTTGCAAGCCGGCATGGAGGGGTCGGCTCTAGTCACAATTTTCCCTACTACTACAATGGTTGCAAGCCGGCATGGAAGGGTCGGCTCTAGTCCCAATTTCCCCTACTACTACAATGGTTGCAAGCCGGCATGGAAGGGTCGGCTCTAGTCACAATTTCTCCTACTACTACAATGGTTGCAAGCCGTCTGGAAGAAACACAAGGACAGCAGTAAGCGGACAGCCACTTGTCACGTCTCATAGGGATTGTTACCTGACCCGATAATAATTCATTGTGTCGAGTGACAGGAAGCCAGAGTGAATTCATACACGTTAGGTTGTTATCGACCTCGATAAAGGTCAATGAAATAGGCACAATCAGAGAACACTATGAACATCAGAGGTTCATGGTTGTTCAATACCCTCCCAACATGTATAAGAAATATTGCCTTAACAAAGGTTGAGTTCTTCCAGAAGGAATTAGACAAGTTCTTGCAAGAAGTGTCGGACCAACTGGGCTGTAGTGGATATGTGGGCCTGCGGGCCACTCACATCCTGTTGGACCAAGTTATCACTAAGTCAAGCCATTGGCTCGAGGAGTGGAAGAACTCCTAAAACCCTCTCCAGGTAAACTTCAGGTAAACACTATAGCAAATATAACGATATAGTGATATCGCTAATATCGCTATATTCCTTCAGTGGTGATATCAACATGTAAAAAACATGCTTGGGTATAATATAGTGATATCGCCATATTCCTTCCAGATACAAGAAGGAATACCAGGACATTACATTATATTGGAAGAAAAATAGCTTACCGAGAGTGTGTTGCTTTAACACGGGAACCTTAACACGTGTTAATAAGAAAATGTCAGTTCTACAGACTGTTGGACAACACTAACCTGTCGGTTAGTAGCACAGTTTGGAAGAGATGGTCTTCACCAGTTCTGATGGTCGCCTCAAACTTGGTGCGCTCAGAAAATACATGCTTTCCCACCTTAAACTGAAAGATTAAGCAAGAAGTTAACACAAATTCCAATAAGAAATTATGAAAATGTTTAAATCTTAAAATTGATTAAAAGTTTTCACCTGAGGGCACTGCACTTGTGCTGATCCTTATTGGTCAATGAGGATAACAGGACAAGGTGGTAATAGAAGTCTGGTTAACAATACCGGTAGTTACATGGTTGGTATGATACCAGTGGCTGGCAGGTACATGGTTGGTATGACACCAGTGGCTGGCAGGTATATGGTTGGTATGACACCAGTGACTGGCAGGTACATGGTTGGTATGACACCAGTGGCTGGCAGGTACATGGTTGGTATGACACCAGAGGCCGGCAGTTACATGGTTGGTATGACACCAGTGGCTGGCAGGTACATGGTTGGTATGACACCAGAGGCCGGCAGTTACATGGTTGGTATGACACCAGAGGCCCGCAGTTACATGGTTGGTATGACACCAGAGGCCGGCAGTTACATGATTGGTATGACACCAGAGGCCGGCAGGTACATGGTTGGTATGACACCAGTGGCCGGCAGGTACATGGTTGGTATGACACCAGTGGCCGGCAGTTACATGGTTGGTATGACACCAGTGGCAGGCAGGTACATAATTGGTATGGGGCTGGACGCCCCGTGTGGCAGGATGCCCCGTGTGGCAGGATGCCCCGTGTGGCATGATGCCCCGTGTGGCAGGATGCCCCGTGTGACAGGATGCCCCGTGCGGCAGGATGCTCCGTGTGGCAGGATGTCCTGTGTCAGGATGCTCCGTGCGGCAGGATGCCCCGTGTGGCAGGATGCCCCGTGTGACAGGATGCTCCGTGAGGCAGGATGTCCCGTGTGGCAGGATGCCCCGTGTGACAGGATGCTCCGTGAGGCAGGATGTACCGTGTGGCAGGATGCCCCGTGTGGCAGGATGTACCGTGTGGCAGGATGTCCCGTGTGACAGGATGCTCCGTGAGGCAGGATGTCCCGTGTGGCAGGATGCCCCGTGTGGCAGGATGCCCCGTGTGGCAGGATGCCCCGTGTGACAGGATGCTCCGTGAGGCAGGATGTCCCGTGTGGCAGGATGCCCCGTGTGACAGGATGCCCCGTGTGACAGGATGCCCCGTGTGACAGGATGCTCCGTGCGGCAGGATGCCCCGTGTGACAGGATGCTCCGTGAGGCAGAATGTCCCGTGCGGCAGGATGCTCCGTGCGGCAGGATGCTCCGTGTAGAAGAATGTGCCGTGCGGCAGGATGCTCCGTGTAGAAGAATGTGCCGTGCGGCAGGATGTCCCGTGTGGCAGGATGCCCCGTGTGACAGGATGCTCCGTGAGGCAGGATGTCCCGCGTGGCAGGATGCCCCGTGTGGCAGGATGCCCCGTGTGGCAGGATGCCCCGTGCGGCAGGATGCTCCGTGCGGCAGGATGCTCCGTGTAGAAGAATGCCCCGTGGGGCAGGATGCTCCGTGCGGCAGGATGCTCCGTGTAGAAGAATGCCCCGTGCGGCAGGATGCTCCGTGCGGCAGGATGCTCCGTGTAGAAGAATGCCCCGTGTTGCAGGATGCCCCGTGCGGCAGGATGACCCGTGTGGCAGGATGACCCGTGTGGCAGGATGCCCCGTGTAGCAGGATGCTCCATGCGGCAGGATGCTCCGTGTAGAAGAATGCCCCGTGGGGCAGGATGCTCCGTGCGGCAGGATGCTCCGTGTGGCAGGATGCCCCGTGCGGCAGGATGCTCCGTGCGGCAGGATGCCCCGTGTAGAAGGATGCCCCATGTAGCAGGATGCTCCGTGCAGCAGGATGCCCCGTGTGGCAGGATGCCCCGTGTGGCAGGATGCTCCATGTGGAAGGATGCTCTGTGTGGCAGGATGCTCCGTGCGGCAGGATGCTCCGTGTAGAAGAATGCCCCGTGGGGCAGGATGCTCCGTGCGGCAGGATGCTCCGTGTGGCAGGATGCCCCGTGCGGCAGGATGACCCGTGTGGCAGGATGACCCGTGTGGCAGGATGCCCCGTGTAGCAGGATGCTCCATGCGGCAGGATGCTCCGTGTAGAAGAATGCCCCGTGCGGCTGGATGCTCCGTTCGGCAGGATGCTCCGTGTGGCAGGATGCCCTGTGCGGCAGGATGCCCCGTGTGGCAGGATGCCCCGTGCGGCAGGATGCTCCGTGCGGCAGGATGCTCCGTGTAGAAGAATGCCCCGTGTGGCAGGATGCTCCGTGCGGCAGGATGACCCGTGTGGCAGGATGACCCGTGTGGCAGGATGCCCCGTGTAGCAGGATGCTCCATGCGGCAGGATGCCCCCGTGTAGCAGGATGCTCCGTGCAGAAGGATGCCCCGTGTGGCAGGATGCCCCGTGTGGCAGGATGCCCCGTGTGGCAGGATGCCCCGTGTGGCAGGATGCCCCGTGTGGCAGGATGCCTCGTGTGGCAGGATGCCCCGTGTAGCAGGATGCCCCGTGTAGCAGGATGCCCCGTGTAGCAGGATGCTCCGTGCAGCAGGATGCCCCGTGTGGCAGGATGCTCCATGTGGAAGGATGCTCCGTGCAGAAGGATGCCCCGTGTGGCAGGATGCCCCGTGTGGCAGGATGCCCCGTGTGGCAGGATGCCCCGTGTGACAGGATGCCAAGTGTAGCTGGATGCTCCGTGCGGCAGGATGACCCATGTGGCAGGATGCCCCGTGTGGCAGGATGACCCGTGTGTCCGGATGCCCCGTGTGGCAGGATGCTCCGTGCAGCAGGATGCCCCGTGTAGCAGGATGCCCCGTGCGGCAGGATGCCCCGTGCGGCAGGATGCTCCGTGTGGCAGGATGTCCTGTGTCAGGATGCTCCGTGCGGCAGGATGCCCCGTGTGTCTGGATGCTCCGTGTGGCAGGATGCTCCGTGTGGCAGGATGCTCCGTGCAGCAGGATGTTCCGCGTGGCAGGATGCCCCGTGTGGCAGGATGCTCCGTGTGGCAGGATGTTCCGTGTGGCAGGATGCCCCGTGTGGCAGGATGCTCCGTGTGGCAGGATGCCCTGTGTAGCAGGATGCTCCGTGTGGCAGGATGCCCCGTGTGGCAGGATGCTCCGTGTGACAGGATGCCCCGTGTGGCAGGATGCCCCGTGTGGCAGGATGCCCTGTTTAGCAGGATGCTCCGTGAGGCAGGATGCTCCGTGTGGCAGGATGCCCCGTGTGGCAGGATGCCCCGTGTGGCAGGATGCCCCGTGTGGCAGGATGCCCCGTGTGGCAGGATGCTCCGTGTAGCAGGATGCCCCGTGTGGCAGGATGTCCCGTGTGGCAGGATGCCCCGTGTGGCAGGATGTCCCGTGTGGCAGCATGTCCCGTGTGGCAGGATGCCCCGTGTAGCAGGAGGCCCCGTGTGGCAGGATGCCCCGTGTAGCAGGATGCCCCGTGTGGCAGGATGCCTCGTGTGGCAGGATGCTCCGTGTGGCAGGATGCCCCGTGTGGCAGGATGCCCAGTGTGGCAGGATGCCCCGTGTAGCAGGATGCCCCGTGTGGCAGGATGCCCCGTGTAGCAGGATGCCCCGTGTGGCAGGATGCCCCGTGTGGCAGGATACCCCGTGTAGCAGGATGCCCCGTGTGGCAGGATACCCCGTGTAGCAGGATGCCCCGTGTGGCAGGATACCCCGTGTAGCAGAATGCCCCGTGTAGCAGGATGCCCCGTGTGACAGGATGCCCCGTGTAGCAGGATGCCCCGTGTGGCTGGATGCCCCGTGTGGCAGGATGCCCCGTGTGGCAGGATGCCCCGTGTGGAAGGATGTTCCGTGTGGCAGGATGCCCTGTGTGGCAGGATGTGTCGTGTGGCAGGATGTTCCGTGTGGCAGGATGCCAAGTGTGGCAGGATGCACCAAGAGGCAGGATGTCCCGTGTGGCAGGATGTCCTGTGTGGCAGGATGTCCCGTGTGGCAGGATGCACCATGTGGCAGGATGTCCCGTGTGGCAGGATGTCCCGTGTGGCAGGATGTCCCGTGAGGCAGGATGCCCCGTGTTGCAGGATGCACCATGAGGCAGGATGTCCCGTGTGGCAGGATGTCCCGTGTGGCAGGATGTCCCGTGTGGCAGGATGCACCATGAGGCAGGATGTCCCGTGTGGCAGGATGTCCCGTGTGGCAGGATGCACCATGAGGCAGGATGTCCCGTGTGGCAGGATGTCCCGTGTGTCAGGATGCCCCGTGTGGCAGGATGTCCCGTGTGGCAGGATGTCCCGTGTGGCAGGATGCCCCGTGCGGCAGGATGTCCCGTGTGGCAGGATGTCCCGTGTGGCAGGATGCACCATGAGGCAGGATGTCCCGTGTGGCAGGATGTCCCGTGTGTCAGGATGCCCCGTGTGGCAGGATGTCCCGTGTGGCAGGATGTCCCGTGTGGCAGGATGCCCCGTGTGGCAGGATGTCCCGTGTGGCAGGATGAACCGTGTGGCAGGATGCACCATGAGGCAGGATGTCCCGTGTGGCAGGATGTACCGTGTGGCAGGATGCCCCGTGTGGCAGGATGCCCTGTGTGGCAGGATGTGTCGTGTGGCAGGATGTTCCGTGTGGCAGGATGCCAAGTGTGGCAGGATGCACCAAGAGGCAGGATGTCCCGTGTGGCAGGATGTCCTGTGTGGCAGGATGTCCCGTGTGGCAGGATGAACCGTGTGGCAGGATGTACCGTGTGGCAGGATGTCCCGTGTGGCAGGATGTACCGTGTGGCAGGATGTCCCGTGTGGCAGGATGTACCGTGTGGCAGGATGTACCGTGTGGCAGGATGAACCGTGTGGCAGGATGTACCGTGTGGCAGGATGAACCGTGTGGCAGGATGCACCATGAGGCAGGATGTCCCGTGTGGCAGGATGTACCGTGTGGCAGGATGTCCCGTGTGGCAGGATGTACCGTGTGGCAGGATGTACCGTGTGGCAGGATGTACCGTGTGGCAGGATGTACCGTGTGGCAGGATGTACCGTGTGGCAGGATGAACCGTGTGGCAGGATGTACCGTGTGGCAGGATGTACCGTGTGGCAGGATGAACCGTGTGGCAAGATGTACCGTGTGGCAGGATGTCCCGTGTGGCAAGATGTACCGTGTGGCAGGATGTCCTGTGTGGCAGGATGTCCCGTGTGGCAGGATGTACCGTGTGGCAGGATGTACCGTGTGGCAGGATGTACCGTGTGGCAGGATGCCCCGTGTGGCAGGATGCCCCGTGTGGCATGATGCCCCGTGTGGCAGGATGTACCGTGTGGAAGGATGTCCCGTGTGGCAGGATGTACCGTGTGGCAGGATGTACCGTGTGGCAGGATGTACCGTGTGGCAGGATGTCCTGTGTGGCAGGATGTACCGTGTGGCAGGATGTACCGTGTGGCAGGATGTACCGTGTGGCAGGATGTACCGTGTGGCAGGATGTCCTGTGTGGCAGGATGTCCCGTGTGGCAGGATGTCCTGTGTGGCAGGATGTACCGTGTGGCAGGATGTACCGTGTGGCAGGATGTACCGTGTGGCAGGATGTCCCGTGTGGCAGGATGAACCGTGTGGCAGGATGTACCGTGTGGCAGGATGTACCGTGTGGCAGGATGTACCGTGTGGCAGGATGTACCGTGTGGCAGGATGTACCGTGTGGCAGGATGTACCGTGTGGCAGGATGTACCGTGTGGCAGGATGTCCTGTGTGGCAGGATGTACCGTGTGGCAGGATGTACCGTGTGGCAGGATGTACCGTGTGGCAGGATGTACCGTGTGGCAGGATGTACCGTGTGGCAGGATGTACCGTGTGGCAGGATGTACCGTGTGGCAGGATGTACCGTGTGGCAGGATGTCCTGTGTGGCAGGATGTACCGTGTGGCAGGATGTACCGTGTGGCAGGATGTACCGTGTGGCAGGATGTACCGTGTGGCAGGATGTACCGTGTGGCAGGATGTACCGTGTGGCAGGATGTACCGTGTGGCAGGATGAACCGTGTGGCAGGATGTCCCGTGTGGCAGGATGTACCGTGTGGCAGGATGTCCTGTGTGGCAGGATGTACCGTGTGGCAGGATGCCCCGTGTGGCAGGATGCCCCGTGTGGCAGGATGCCTCGTGTGGCAGGATGCCCCGTGTGGCAGGATGCCCCGTGTGGCAGGATGCCCTGTGTGGCAGGATGCCTCGTGTGGCAGGATGCCCCGTGTGGCAGGATGCCCTGTGTAGCAGGATGCCCCGTGTGGCAGGATGCCCCGGGCGGCAGGATGCCCCGTGTGCTCCCTAACACTTATCTCCTACGACAGCTGTGGGTAGTATTGACTCATCCTGGAAATCCTAAGCATTCTGTACCTCCTTATTTGCTGAAGTTATGACTGAAAAGTGAGTGACGAGAACTTTAAATATTAATGTTAAAATTGATATTTAGTTGGATAACAAGAGGAAAAGTTGGCATCTCTATTTGTCTCGACTTAAAACGTATCTCTCCATTACACACGGAGATCACACTAACGTGATGCGTCAAAGGCAGTGATTAAGGCAGTGTCTGGGATGCTCCCGGACGCAGGTTCGAATCCTCGTCACGGCCCTTGTGGATTTGTATCTATCCATATAAGTTTAAGTGTGACTGGCGTAGTTTGTGCCTGCCGCTGCCCTAGTGCCCGTCCACGCTCTCTTCCCTCACAAATACGGGTTACAACGTAATAACTACAATACAGAAGAACAAACTAAGGCATGAAATAAAGTAAGATGGTGTCATATTAACGAAACAATTACATCACTGCGCATAGAGAACTTGTGCCGGAAACAAGTGCAATTAGCTCAGGAAAATATCCAATAATGTAGTACATAAACATTGTAAGGAAGCAATAAGACAAAATGCTAGAGATTACATGTGAATAAACATTACTTCATTTGTTTACAATTACAAACTAATTTAGTGTATGATAAGAGAGAGAGCAGTACCTGATAGGCGGGGTCCTCACCACCCTGGTCCCACACAGATAACAACACAAGGAAGTTTGGAGACGTCTGAAAGTAAGAATAAGTCGCGATCATCACCTAAACTAACAACAAACACTTTACTGAAAATATTTCAAGTGAGAGAGAGAGAATATATATATATATACTAAATTATATAAATAATGAATGTTAATAATAACATAAACACATCAAGGAACGGAGGCCGGGGACATGAGCTGAAGCTCGGTAACTAGCTTGGTCCATTTTACGACGTCTAAAGTACGTCTGTTTTTAATTTGACCTTAATTGAACTGATAAGTTCAATAACGAAAATACCTGAGTGAACTAAGGCGGAGGACAGGAGCCGGAGCTTTACTTCTCCATTTTCATCTCTTACTACGTCTGAAATATGTCTCTTATATTCTTATAAATTTCTTGAAAATCGGGTTAATAATAATGCAAATACAACTGTAAACATCTAGAGGTGGGTCCAAGAGCTGAAGTCTGACTCTGTCATTCGCTTGACACACTACTAATTGTCATATTCTCCTAAGATGGACCTCCCTTTAACCCTGATTTCAGTATCCCTTCTTATACCACTTCTTCCTACTATGGTATACTGGTGGTATACCATGGAAGGATGGTTACACCATAGGTGGCTACACTAATAGGTATACCAATAAGGGTGGCTTGGTATACTTCTAACAGACCAACCACCCTTATTATTCCTCTTACTATAGACAGTATATTATGTCTGCTTAGCCTCTCTTCACGGCGCAGGGTAGTCATCTGGGCTATGATCAAAGGCTGGGGGGCACCCTGGACCACGACCACAGGCTGGGGAGCACCCTGGACCATGACCACAGGCTGGGGAGCACCCTGGACCATGACCACAGGCTGGGGGGCACCCTGGACCATGACCACAGGCTGGGGGGCACCCTGGACCATGACCACAGGCTGGGGAACACCCTGGACCATGACCACAGGCTGGGGAGCACCCTGGACCATGACCACAGGCTGGGGGGCACCCTGGACCATGACCACAGGCTGGGGGGCACCCTGGACCATGACCACAGGCTGGGGAGCACCCTGGACCATGACCACAGGCTGGGGAGCACCCTGGACCACGACCACAGGCTGGGGAGCACCCTGGACCACGACCCAGGCAGGGGAGCACCCTGGGCCATGACCACAGGCTGGGGAGCACCCTGGACCATGACCACAGGCTGGGGAGCACCCTGGACCATGACCACAGGCTGGGGAGCACCCTGGACCATGACCACAGGCTGGGGGGCACCCTGGACCATGACCACAGGCTGGGGAGCACCCTGGACCACGACCCAGGCAGGGGAGCACCCTGGACCATCACCACAGGCTGGGGAGCACCCTGGACCATGACCACAGGCTGGGGAGCACCCTGGACCATGACCACAGGCTGGGGGGCACTGTGGGCCATGACCACAGGCTGGGGAGCACCCTGGACCATGACCACAGGCTGGGGGGCACCCTGGACCATGACCACACGCTGGGGAACACCCTGGACCATGACCACAGGCTGGGGGGCACCCTGGACCATGACCACAGGCTGGGGAGCACCCTGGACCATGACCACAGGCTGGGGGGCACCCTGGACCATGACCACAGGCTGGGGGGCACCCTGGACCATGACCACAGGCTGGGGGGCACCCTGGACCATGACCACAGGCTGGGGAGCACCCTGGACCATGACCACAGGCTGGGGAGCACCCTGGACCATGACCCTAGGCATGGAAGCATCCTGGACCATGACCACAGGCTGGGGGGCATCCTGGACCATGACCACAGGCTGGGGAGCACCCTGGACCATGACCACAGGCTGGGGAGCACCCTGGACCATGACCACAGGCTGGGGGGCACCCTGGACCATGACCACAGGCTGGGGGGCACCCTGGACCATGACCCTAGGCATGGAAGCACCCTGGACCATGACCACAGGCTGGGGGGCATCCTGGACCATGACCCTAGGCATGGAAGCATCCTGGACCATGACCACAGGCTGGGGGGCACCCTGGACCATGACCACAGGCTGGGGGGCACCCTGGACCATGACCACAGGCTGGGGAGCACCCTGGACCATGACCCTAGGCATGGAAGCACCCTGGACCATGACCACAGGCTGGGGAGCACCCTGGACCATGACCCTAGGCATGGAAGCATCCTGGACCATGACCCTAGGCATGGGAGCACCCTGGACCATGACCACAGGCTGGGGGGCACCCTGGACCATGACCCTAGGCATGGGAGCACCCTGGACCCGCAACACCGGCTGTGTTGTCAGCTGGTGCTGGGAGCGGTACAGTCACACAGCTGGCTACACCCGCAGCACCGGCTGTGTTGTCAGCTGGTGCTGGGAGCGGTACAGTCACACAGCTGGCTACACCCGCAACACCGGCTGTGTTGTCAGCTGGTGCTGGGAGCGGTACAGTCACACAGCTGGCTACACCCGCAACACCGGCTGTGTATGGTACACTCCTCTCTAGTCATAATATAACAAGAATAACTTTATGTCTACAACAAAGGTATTACTCATTGTACTCACTTCAACAATTGCTTCCAGGGTTGTACTGTTGTCAAAATTGATATATAGAAGAGTCTTGCCCGCATCAAAGACAGCTTTGTGCTCTGTGGTGTATGACTGCTCAAACCACCTCAACTAGAAATATCAAAGAAATTAATTTTCACCTTGAGCAATCATTCAGTTCAGTTTGACTAGAGTTAAATATATATAAATTTATATATATAAATATATATAAAGAAGTGCCATGTGTGCATACCTATCTAGTGGAATGACTCAGCTCTTGTTCCACACCTCCCAGTTATCAGGAATAATGTATAGTTAAATGTCGTGTCTAACTAGTGTTCGTACGCACTTTTTTGTACTAGTATATTTGTTTGAAAAGGAGTGAGCTCCAGTTCTTGACATCTAGCTCCTAAACCATAAATAAATTACTGATGTGATGTACTATTAACCCCAGTTGACTCTCCTGGTGTGTTCCACTTCTGCAATTGTCCCCATACTCACCAGTCCTCTTACTCACCAGTCCCCTTACTCACCAGCCCCATACTCACCAGTCCTCTTACTCACCAGTCCCCTTACTCACCAGCCCCATACTCACCAGTCCTCTTACTCACCAGCCCCTTACTCACCAGCCCCCTTACTCACCAGCCCCATATTCACCAGCCCCCTTGCTCACCAGCCCCCTTACTCACCAGCCCCCTTACTCACCAGCCCCCTTACTCACCAGCCACAGCGCATAAACCGCAAAAAGGCCCGGGGAAAAGGGTCGTGAAAGGACCAAGAATGGAGAAGCACTATAGAGCCTGCTACAAAAGAGCGTTTCATGACATTCAACTCGTGAATTCTGGGAAAAATTCCTCTAGTAGATACCTGAACCTATTCACAGCAGAGACCAGGAGAGGAAAAGTATATTCTTAGTTGTGAAAAGGATGAGAGAGCAACCACGAGAGGACAAGCAGACTATTGTGAGAGGCTCAACACTGCCGGTAAGAGGTGCAACAAAGAAGTCGGCACGAACACCTTAAGAAAGGCTGAAGATGACCAACAAAAGGCAGGCAAAAAAGCCCAACTTCCTGAACTGCTCTGATTCAGGTTGAACACGTGAGTCTTACAGTAAAATTGTCATTTGACCACTAGTCAGTACAAACATGTAACCTGAAACTGCAACCATCAACTACACAAACAGCCAAACTGAAATATAGGATTTCAGATTTCCAATTCCGACGCGTGGCTCCCATCCCTCAGCAGGAACAACAATAAATTCCACCCCCACACCCACAGGAAGGCAGCGTTAAAGGAATGGGTGAAACAACGGGCGTCAGGGCCCTTCATGGGCACATCGAACCCATTGCCAGGTGAACAAGAAGAGACATCGTACTCAAACTGGGGTACAAGAGCCTCCAACCCGAAGATAAATGTCATCGGGCCTGGTCACTAGAACTCAAAACCGATCAAAAGGAAATCAGGCCGACTCCAACCGAATCACCTCCTCCACCAGATAAAGAAATGGGCCAGTTGAAGAATCCAACCGAGGAGCAGAAGCTAACCTCAGAACAATGACGAAAGATGGAAGCCACTAAGGAGAGGATGCCGACTCTCGCTAGAGAGAGAAAGATGACTCCAGCAGAGACACTGCCTGTTCATAAAAGCTGCATGTGAAACAGGGACTGAAAGCTTCGCCTCCAAACATCTAAATCTCCACAAAAACTTGTTAAAGCGAAGGACAAAGTTGTTCAAATGCAACAGCCAGAAAGGAATGATAGGAAACAGAACGCTTCCTAACCACAGATGGAGCAGATGAGTCACTCGGAATTTAGGAACTACAGCACCATTCAGGTCTTGAAGGAGTGTTTTCTGGACCAGAACATGTAAATCCTCCTTAAAGACGAGATGTAGCTTGACATTGTTCAATTCAGCATCTTTACTCAGAAACGCATACCAACAGCCTCTACTGCAGACTGCCAAACCCGAGGCTTGAACGAGGTCGCTGTCCATACCTGCCAGAGAGGACACACACTCCGCTCTGCACCTAACAACATGAATATTAGAGACAACAGTGCTGACAGACAGAGCAAAAATGAATGACATCCTGATAACTGTAGTTACCGGAATCAAGCCTCACTCCGTACTAAGTTGCTAATAATACAGAACAAAAATCTCAGCTAAACCCCAAATTAAACCCCCTGGGCCTCCACCCAGACCACACAGACGAGGAGGTCGCCTACCGTAGAGAAGGCCTGTCCACCCCCTGGGCCTCCACCCAGACCACACAGACGAGGAGGTCGCCTACCGTAGAGAAGGCCTGTCCACCCACAGACAGCATTATGCAAGGGCACCTGCTACACAGAAACAAACAAAACAAAAACATTCCACCTTTAAGTGAGACCATGAAGGTTAAACAAACACTCAAGTGAGACCATGAAGGTTAGACAAACACTCAAGTGAGACCATGAAGGTTAAACAAACACTCAAGTGAGACCATGAAGGTTAGACAAACACTCAAGTGAGACCATGAAGGTTAGACAAACACTCAAGGGAGACAATGAAAGTTAAACAAATATTCAAGGAGGAACAAGATATATATAACCACTCTCAGGGGAGAGCATGAAGGATAACCAAACCCTTAAGTGAGACCAAGACTAGCCAAACACTCAAGTGAGACCACCAAAACTAACCAAACACTCAAGTGAGACCATGAAGACTAACCAAACACTCAAGTGAGACCACCAAGACTAACCAAACACTCAAGTGAGACCACCAAGACTAACCAAACACTCAAGTGAGACCAAGACTAACCAAACACTCAAGTGAGACCACCAAGACTAACCAAACACTCAAGTGAGACCAAGACTAACAAAACACTCAAGTGAGACCACCAAGACTAACCAAACGCTCAAGTGAGACTATCAAGACTAACCAAACACTCAAGTGAGACCAAAACTAACCAAACACTCAAGTGAGACTATCAAGACTAACCAAACACTCAAGTGAGACCAAAACTAACCAAACACTCAAGTGAGACTATCAAGACTAGCCAAACACTCAAGTGAGACTATCAAGACTAACCAAACACTCAAGTGAGACCAAGACTAACCAAACACTCAAGTGAGACCACCAAGACTAACCAAACACTCAAGTGAGACCAAGACTAACCAAACACTCAAGTGAGACTATCAAGACTAACCAAACACTCAAGTGAGACCAAGACTAACCAAACACTCAAGTGAGACCACCAAGACTAACCAAACACTCAAGTGAGACCAAGACTAACCAAATGGTCCACAACAAAGAAGTAATGTTTCAGGGAGCACACCCATCGCAAACTCTTCATTCCTAGAACAGACATCTTATTTCTTTATTCTTTTCCCGGCCGTCGCTGCGAAGCTTTCCTCCCTGATGGTCCAGCTCGCGTCTTGGCTGCTGTCAATATCCTCTTGAGTGTCTCTCTTGACTTTCCATTTGCGGTCCCCAGGCTCAGGAGTCGGTGCTGGTCCTTCACGTTCCCTGGCCATAGTACTACTTGGGATCATGTTGCCAAATGCAAACACGAACGCCCGCATTAATAGCTTGAGCCCACAACAGAATGAAACTAGTTTTAAAGAATAGTGTCACTTAACTGAATAATGCGGTCTCTGTCAATACAAACATATTTCGGTGGGAAGAGGCAAGAACAACGAGAGGTGACCAACTCCTTGCTGCTACTCTATATTCTGGTAAGATTGTATATGTAAGTATATCTAGCAGCAGTTGGAGGTAGCAGCCAGGCGGAACAAGTAACAGCTAGCAGGATGCTGCTCAACAGTCTCTCTAATACTGATTATTGATTGAGAAGTTTTTATGGTGTAAATGAATGAATAAACTGGTGTATAACCCGGCTGGGACCTGGTTATAACAACACCGCCGCACCTCGTTATAAGCCTTGACCTGTCTTTAGTGTGTGCTGTCCTCTCCTCGGGCACAACATGATACAACCTATAGGAGCAACCTAAAGGCTCAGAAAGGCCTTAAATGCCTAATAAACAAACATATTATTAGATAAACAGCAAATAAATCAATAAATAAATGAAAATACAAATAATACTATTACGTATAAATAACGATAAATATATTATTCACAGTATAATCTCACATTACTTCTGACATTGAACGTTTGCCAGGCATGGTCAGCAGTGAGGGAGAGTGAGGCCCCCGCCTGGCGCCCCTCCAGGCCACCGTAGGCCTCCAGTGTGGCGGTGATGGGCTGGTCCTCCCTGTAGTCCGCCTCCAGTCTCAACGCCCCAACTGCCGCTCCTATAGCACCACTCATCTAAATATAAACAATGTTTGAAATTAATTATTATTTTACTTCACTATACTGTGGGTAATTATTGAGCAATTCAAACTGATGCGTTTCAATATGATGAATTTCTTATATAATACATGTTATCCAGCCTAAACATATACAACCATTGAATGCTTTTTTCTATTAACATCACATAAAAATTCACGACTTACTGTAATAATAGCATAATCAGGTTCACTAAAGTCAATGTTGTGCTCAACTTCTAAAATGTAGTCACTATATTGGAAGCGTAGCCCGGCCAGGAGGTGCAGGGGCTCCCTCTCCAGCAGGTACGTCGCTGCCAACTTGGACTGGATCAGTGAGTCAAGCATGAGCTCTGCTTCACCATGAAAGGCGTTTTCTGATACCTTAAAGTGAAGACATTTTTTCTTGACTGTGGTGAATTACGAGCTGAGCAAGTAAACATATTTACTATTAATATTTGTATCTCCTACACTTGAAACAATCAAGTGACCCGACATATATTATGATACCTGACCATATGTTCCATATATCTATAAGTATTTAAAATCAGATATTTTGCAGGAAGTTTCCGGGTATTCGTTAATTTATCAGTAAATTAACTGAGGGTAGAAGTGTTTGCTAGGACTTAAAACTGTATTATGCAGCACATGTCATGGGAATAACAGTTCCCATACAAAATCTTTAAAATAACATGCAGTGAAAAATTACTGTTGTTTTATGTTAAATAGGTTAAAATTGTAATTTTTGTTAGCCCAGCTTTAATCGGGCGAATTATGTTATTTTCGACAATGGCTTTAATCGGCCGAAACGTTCATCTCCCTTTCTCATGTCTCTGTGGATTTTCCGCATACGGAAAGTGTTTCCCGATTATATAAGAATGAGCTCCTCCCGTGAAAGGTTCAAACCTTAGACTGACACGGGTAATGCACACCTTGACAAGTCCAGTACTCTGACCAAATGGCTTCCAGACTGTTGAAAGTCATGGGTAGCCGAAGCTATTTCCCTCAAATGACCTAACAGCAACTCAGTGGCCACAGACTAGAAGTTCGTTTTCATTTTAGCACCATTAATTCCCATTAAATAGCTAATTAAAGAATTAGAGTGAAAAACAAATAAAGAATTATGAAACTAAAAATTATGTTGTGCTTCTGAAATGCAGGATAAAAAATTACATTCAAATCGACAAATGAGTTTTTGGCATGGACTGCATGCCCGGGACGAGCATGGCCTGAAGATGGGTTGTAATATTAGGGAAACCTAGCTGCTGTGGGGCAGCACGGAGCCCTGAACAATGGACGCTGAAATAATAACGAGCCTGGTTGGAGCCGCGGATGCTCTGACAATGAACAGGGAGAGAAGACGAACGAAGCTTCCAGGAGAACCTCTGACCTATGTCAAACAAGGCCGCAAAGAGGGAGAGTGAACAAACGAGAGTCTGCAGTTATAAAATAATAGAAGAACAACTATGGTCATGAAAGGAGGTGCAGAGAACATCCAAGAACACGAACGAAGACCCCTTCAGAAGGGAGTGAAGGGACGCAAGGAAGTTCACAGGCGACCAGGCGGCCCGAAGCTCGAAAGATACCTGGGCTATGATTATACAAGAAGCGGAGCTAAAGTAACAGCCACAAAACCCGATGCCACATTAGCTTAAGATACAATGTGCCTCCCTGTGTAAATGACCTACCCAGCGTGTGGACGCTACGCCCACAACATTTGGTGCGTTAACCACATATTGGACAATGAGGTAACTATGCAGCTTGTCTATTAGCCCTTCTTGTGTTGTTTGTTAATAATCAAAGCTAACTTGCGTCATCACAAATTTACACAGCCAACAGGCGTGTGCTTTATTTTACTCACACCTTGTTATGGTATACTTCCTGATCACTCACAAGCTCAATATTATCAGCTTTAGTCTAGTAAAGTTCAGCTTATTTTAAGTTCCTCAAATGAGATAATATTGTCTCCCATAATATTTTCTTTATCCTATTTGGACTAGTAATCAGCATGCTAGGAAGTCATTTAATAATTTTGAGGCCAGTGTGTACTGTAATCTTTAGTTCTTTAAGTACGAGATACAGTAATGTCACCTTATCAGCTGCCTGTATTTCCCATTCCTTGTATTAAACGGAAATTCCCTTGGATGAGGAGACCTGAGAAAAGGTTCCCAAATTCCTCCGAATCATATTCTCTTCCTCTATTTTTCCTGTGTTATAATGATAACAGATAATAAGGTCGATATAAAATTTCAGTAATGGTTATCTTGCAGTATATGAGATACGTAAAATACTAGCAGCTAAATTTTACGAATTATTTATTTCTCTAATGAATTATGGGAATTGTACAGAATAACAGAATAATAATAATAATAATAATAATAATAATAATAATAATAATAATAAGAATTCATTGTGTCGAGGGACAGGCAGCCAGAGTGTATTCATACATGTTAGGCTTATATCAGGTCCCCCTCAAGGTCGAATTACTGACCCCGCCCAGGCTGCAACCCTTCAACAAGCTGACTAACTCCTGAGTACCCGCTTGCTGCAAGGTGAACAGTCCATTAGGTGAAAGGAAATGCGACCATTAATTTTTGTCCCGCCCGGGATTCAAACCCGGAACTCTGGATTGTGCGTCGAGAACGTACCCGAGTGTGCTACCAGGAGCCAAAGCATACATACCTTATAGACAGCATTGCCAAAGTAACTCGTATTCAGGTGTTGGTTGACGAAATTAACTTTGAGCTGCAAGTCTCTGTCATCTCCCGTCACAATGTTCTTCAGTATTACTTCAGATGCAACCTGCAACATGGATAAGACCAGTACAACATGCAATTATAACAAACATAACTTACATATAACATTTATTAAGTGTACTTTTATAAATCTATAATATAAGAGAGATTGTCTCCAAAGTTAGAGGTCAGATGCTTGCCACTAATCTCACCCTAACTTGCTTGGTGAGATGGGGTTGGGAAGGGGGGGGGGATGATCTTGGGTAGATGACGAATATGGGCCTGTCGGGTAGGCCTACGTTCAGTGCTTCAAGATACATAGTATGTTAACCAAATTCACTGTGCGATTTTCATGAAGTCGGAAATCAAATGACTCCACTTAACACAAGGGGACGTCTACGTCGACGAGCCAAGGGTGCGCCTTGCACTCTCTAACCTCTGACGGGACCCCTGGTGTGCCGTCTACGTCGACGAGCCAAGGGTGTACCTCGCACTCTCTATCCCCTGGTTGATGGGGTTCTGGGAGTTCTTCTACTCCCCAAGCCCGGCCCGAGGCCAGGCTTGACTTGTGAGAGTTTGGTCCACTAGGCTGTTGCATGGAGCGGCCCGCAGGCCCACATACCCACCACAGCCCGGTTGGTCCGGCACTCCTTGGAGGAACCCTGACGGAACCCCTGGTGTGCCGTCTACTTCGACGAGCCAAGGGTGTACCTCGCACTCTCTAACCTCTGACGGGACCCCTGGTGTGTCGTCTACGTTGACGAGCCAAGGGTGTACCTCGCACTCTCTAACCTCTGACGGGACCCCTGGTGTGTTGTCCACGTTACACTAGCATGTATATAAAGGTGAGAGGTGAGCACTCTCCTCACTGAGCACTCAGTCCTGTGGAAACACGTCTGTTCTCTCTGCACCTGAGCGAGGGATGTGGGAGAACCTTAGTCCCCACATGGAACCTTAGAGAACCTTAGAAGGGTGACCTGTTGTTCTGTGTAATGTGTACACACTGGTGATGGCTGTGACCAGTTGTACTGTGTACACACTGGTGATGGCTGTGACCAGTTGTACTGTGTACACACTGATGATGGCTGTGACTGCAGCCTGTATGATGGTGTCTAGAATTAAGTAACTTTATCTGAAGTTGAACTTGGGTCATAATGTCAGTGTGTAATTAACCAATGTAGTCGTGTGAGAGGTCAGTGACATCGATGTAGTTGTGTGAGAGGTCAATGACATCGATGTAAACAACTACAGACCAATATCGAACTTACCCATACTATCAAAAATATTTGAAAAAATTATCTACAAACAGCTCTACTCCTATCTCGTAAAATTCGACATTCTTAGCCCCTGTCAGTTTGGCTTCCGCTCTCAAAAGAGTACCAACGATGCAATTATTAGTCTCCTTGATATAATTTACTCAGCCCTTGACAAAAATGAGTTTCCGATTGGACTCTTCATTGACCTGAGAAAGGCCTTTGATACTGTTAATCACGATTACCTCTTATGTAAACTCCATCATTATGGAATCCGAGGCCATGCACTGGACTATATCCAATCCTATCTTAGTGATAGACACCAATGTGTAACCATCAATAATATAACCTCTCCCATTCTACCAATAACCGTTGGAGTGCCACAGGGCAGCATCTTGGGACCTCTTCTATTTCTTATATACATCAATAATCTGCCTAATGTCTCTAACATTCTGAAACCTATTTTGTTTGCTGATGATACTACCCTCATCTACTCCAACCCACATACACTAAATGATGTTGTTAATAATGAACTAAAAAAAGTCCACTTATGGATGTCAACCAAGAAACTAACACTTAACATAGAAAAGACCTACTACATCCTATTTGGAAGCAAATTTACAAATGCAATTCAGCTTCAGATAGACAATGTAAACATTAGCAATAAAAATGATGGAAAGTTTCTTGGCATATTCCTAGACAAGAGACTCAACTTCAGTACCCACATACAACACATAACTAAGAAAGTCTCTAAAACAGTTGGTATACTCTCCAAAATCAGATATTATGTACCTAACTCTGCTCTCATCTCTCTATATTATGCACTAATCTATCCCTATCTCAACTATGGTATCTGTGCATGGGGTTCAACCACTGCAAACCACCTCAAGTCCATCATCACCCAGCAAAAATCTGCTATCAGAATAATATCAAATTCTGCTTTCAGACAACACACAGCCTCCTTGTTTAACTCCCTAAACATGCTAAACATAATCTCACTCCATAAATTCTCTTGTGTCAACTACATCTACAAAATCCTGTTCTTAAATGCAAATCCTTGTCTGAAACTCTTCCTGGATAGATGTAATAGGACCCATTATCACCACACCAGAAATAAATATCTCTTTGATATCCCCAGAGTTAAACTTAATCTCTGTAAACACTCTATGCAAATAAAGGGACCCAGTCTATGGAACTCACTCCCTACTGAATTGAAAAGCTGTCCAACTTTTACATCATTCAAAATCAATACTAAAAAGTACCTAATTTCATCTTCATAGTTTTTCACTTTTTGCCTTAAAATTGCACTGTATCTATTGCTACCCAATCTCCCAACCTTTATGTTCCCATTTTGAACATCTTTACCATTGTGGTCATTGCTGTCTTCTTATATGTGCTGCCAATCTGCTGTATGGTGTTTATAAATCTTGTTTATCTGTATCTTTTGCTACCCAGTCTCCCAATCTTTATGTACCCAATCTGAACATCTTTACCATTGTGATCATTGCTGTCTTATATGTACTGTCAATCTGCTGTATGGTGTCTATTAATCTTGTTTAAATTACTAATCAAGCTGTCAATGTAATCAATCAGAGCTTTAATATAACAATGTGCTTTAATATACTTACTAAGCTCTCTCATCTCATTTTTCTCTTGCAATGTATCTTTATCATTTATCAATTCTGATAGAAATTACCTACTTAAAATTATCTGCTAGATTAAGGACCTGCCCGAAACGCTGCGCATACTAGTGGCTTTACAAGAGTGTAAATACTGTACTATCCAATGTATTCTCACAAACCCAATGTACCTTCTTGTATATATATATATAAATAAAATAAATAAATAAAATAAATAAATAAATGTAGTCGTGTGAGAGGTCAATGACATCGATGTAGTCGTGTGAGAGGTCAATGACATCGATGTAGTCGTGTGAGAGGTCAATGACATCGATGTAGTCGTGAGAGAGGTCAATGACATCGATGTAGTCGTGTGAGAGGTCAATGACATCGATGTAGTCGTGTGAGACTGAGGCTGAGAGCCAAGACAAAGGTTCGGCTGAGGTGTCTGCGCGACTTCCTCTTTGCCGACGACGCAGCAGTCACTGCCCACTCAGCTGAAGACCTCCAACGGCTCATAACCCGCTTCAGCGAGGCCTCTCAGGCTTTCGGACTCACCATCAGTCTGAAGAAAACACAAGTCATGGGACAAGGAGTGGACTTCCCACCTGACATCGGCATCTCTGATTCCAAACTGGAAGTTGTTCACGACTTCGTGTACCTGGGCTCCACAATCTCTGATTCCCTCTCTCTTGATACGGAGCTAAACAAACGCATCGGTAAGGCATCTACTACCATGTCCAAACTGACAAAGAGAGTGTGGGCCAACAATAGGCTAACTGAGTATACTAAGATTCAGGTTTACAGATCCTGTGTCCTGAGCACTCTCCTTTATGGCAGTGAGTCTTGGACACTCCGCGCCCGTCAGGAAAGACGGCTGAATGCCTACCACATGCGCTGCCTTCGACACATCTTGGACATCACCTGGCAGGACAAGGTGACAAACAACAACGTCTTGGGGAGAGCAAGAATCACCAGCATGTACACAATGCTGAAACAGAGACGAATGCGCTGGCTCGGGCACGTTGTGCGAATGGGCGACGGCAGGATCCCCAAGGATCTCCTGTATGGAGAGCTGAGGCAGGGAAAGCGTCCAGTAGGCAAGCCCCAGCTACGGTACAAAGACGTATGCAAAAGGGACCTGAAAGCCATGGACGTCGATCTTGCTATATGGGAGACACTGGCTACAGACCGTTCAGCCTGGAGGCAGTCTGTTCAACGAGGTCTCTCCAAGTTCGAGGAGTCACTTGCCAAGGAATCGGAGGCAAAGAGACAGAGAAGGAAAGCCGGTAACCAGGAAGACAGACCAGAATCGGACTTCGTTTGTGCTCGGTGTGGGATGGACTGCCACTCTCGGATTGGCCTCATCAGTCACACCAGACGCTGCACCAGGATTGACAACTAGGGCGCAACTCCATAGTCTCCCGAGACTGAAGGATGCCTACTACTAGTCGTGTGAGAGGTCAATGACATCGATGTAGTCATATGAGAGGTCAGTGACACCGATGTAGTCGTGTTAGAGGTCAGTGACATCGATGTAGTCGTGTGAACATGTCACACTCTGCCCGTGTGCATGAAAACTGAGGAGCGGCAGGAATGAGGGAGAGTTCAGTGAAGACAGTGTCAGTGGTCTCTGGTCAGGTCCCGTGAGAGGTCCGGGTGTTATGCCGTGACGAGGACGAGTTCCAAGTGTGATGGTGAGAATAAGATCTGGTCTAGCAGAGACAGCGTGGGAGACACGGGTGGGGAAGTGTGGGAGACACGGGTGGGGAAGTGTGGGAGACACGGGTGGGGAAGTGTGGGAGACACGGGTGGGGGAAGTCAGGGCCTAGGAATGTGAGGCATTTTTTAATGTATATATATATATATGATGAAGTTGGTGGTTATTTTGGGTAATGGAGTTATGATGGGAAGTACGGTGTTGAGCGTTAAGGTCTGCCACCAAAATGTCAGGCAGGTTAGTGTCACTAACCTAAAGTGTTAGTGACACTTTGTCGCTAGTGTCACTAACAGGCAGGTTAGTGTCACTAACCTAAAGTGTTAGTGACACTTTGTCGCTAGTGTCACTAACAGGCAGGTTAGTGTCACTAAGAGTGTTATTGTCGTGCACAGGGAGGCCTGTTTTCAGGCAGTTACATGTAGTGAAAATAATTATTGAACTGAAATGTGTATGTTGTTTAATTTCAAGGAAGTGTTCGTGGGTCCATGGAGTGTGTAAGAATTCGTGTTTGAATGGTGAACGTTTTAATTAAGATGGTTACTCCTTCGTGCTCTTCGTCAGGTGATTGATGTGAAGTGTATCCATAATGTCTAATTTCAATAGTACATCAGGTCCTTCACAGTCAGTAAACTCAGACACCAGGCACGTAACGGTGAAGACATTAAACTATGTTATCTCTATGACTGTGTAGTGTGTTGTACGGTGCTGGGTGATGCCGAGCGTGATCTGACAATAGGTTTAAAAGTGTGAAGTGTGAGTCCGGATTGTTTTGGTCTGACAGATTGGATGTTCTGTTGGAAAGATGTAGACCCCATTATATTTAGCCCATTATATTAAACCGCCTATATGAAGGAATCTGTGTAGGATGAGTGGGGTTAAAAGGTTGAGTGATGTCATGGGTTAAGGTAGTATCAGAGGTGCCTGACATTTGAGATGGGGTTATGAGTATGACATTATCAGGAGTGGGGGATCTGTGATGTTACTGTGGGTGTGGAGACACACCTGGGAGCGTCTGGAGTGCTCTGGGTTAGGTTTGGCTTAAGCCTAGAGGAAATTGAGGGAAGCAGATGCCAGAAGTTGTCGGACGGACATTACAGATAAGAAACTTCAGTTTAGTATGGTTGTAATTTTGTTTTTTGTAGCGGGGTCACATTAGGGTTGTGACCTGAGATGAAAGAAAGAATAAGTTTTGAAAGTGTAAGTAGAAGGTAGGCGTAAGACGAAGGGTGAGAAACATAAAATGGTAATAATAAATGAAAAGTGAAAGAACCAGGTAGTAGTAGTAGTAGTAAGGTAAGAACTAAGGAAAAATGGCAGAATAGGAAAAGGAATATATAAGAAAAAGAAAAACAGGAAGGAAAATAAATAAATAAAACAAAAACTGCAAGAGGCCAAAGAGCGAAGAAAAGAAAGAAGCCTCTTAGTAAGAGGCTAAGGGAAGAGAGGGTAGAGGGGGTAAAGCTGAAGTCAGGTCACGTTTAAGAAAATGAAAGCATTTAAGTAAGTACTGTGAAAGGGAAGAGTCAACAGCAACAAAGCCAGGAATAAGATTCATGTTGAGTAGGTTGTGCATCAGAGCTGATTCTACAAAACAACGTCTGTGAAGAGTCAGGAATGATTATTATAGAAGACCAATCAATAGGATGATTAGTCCCTAACATGAGAAAAGAGAGCAGTGTTTGTGTCTGCAGACTTAACACTTCTTTCGAGTTCCATAAATTTGTCATTTTGTGTTCGGCCAGTTTCCCCAAAGTATTGGAGAGGAAATGACGAACAGTAAATAGAGTAGACACCAGCAGCATTAGAAGCAAGGAGGAGCCCTGTGAACTAGATAACTACGAAGAGTGTTCGTTTGTTGAAAGGCGAGCTATATATCAAGAGGATGAAGGACATTAGTGAGATTTTGAGTTCAGATATGAAGGGAAGGCAGAACACAGTGGTACTAGTGTTGGAAACAGGTAAAGGATAAAAGAAATTTCTTTTAGCTTGAGAATAGGCACAGTTAATAAAATGTAAGAGAGTAACCAAGGCGAGAGAAAGACTTGTAGATAAAGGAAATTTCAGAATCAAGAAACTACTCATCACTGATGCGTAGAGCTCGGAAGAAGAGGGAGACGAGGACACTTTTCTTACCAAAAGGAGGATGGTAGGAAAAGAAGTGAATGTACATGCCACTATGCATTGGTTTGCGGTAAACAGAGAAAAATGAACCAGACACAGAGCTGTGAACATGAACGTCAAGAAAAGGAGGGAATTAGATTCCCATTCATCTATGAAATGGATAGAAGGAGCCAGATTATTAAGAGAGGAGAGAAAAGGCTGGAAAAGACTAAGGTCATGAGGTCATGAAGCAAAAGTGTCATCAACACAGCCAAGCCTGAGAGAGGGACGAGTATCAATAGAAGGAAGAAGAACAGTTTCATAGTGCTCCATATAGAGACTGGCCAGAACAGGGGAGAGAGGGGAACCCATAGCCACACCGAAAGACTGAGATAAGTATTTTCCATTAAAAGATCAAGAGAATCGACACAGAACCTGATGAGTTCGCGGAAAACGTCAGTAGGAAGCGGGAGATGAAGGAGCCCTTAAATGCCTTATGAATAAAAAAAGAGAGACCAACATCAAGGGGAACATTAGTAAACAGAGAGTCGACATCAAGACTAAGCATCTTACAGGAGGCCTCAAGGCGCAGTCTTTTGATGAAGTTCTGAGGGTGACGAAAGTGAGCAGGAGAAAAAGTACCAAGATAAGGAGTCACAGTTTTGGCAAGCCAGGAGGCCAGAGGATAGCCGTCAGAGCCTCTGCAAGACATGATAGGACGAAGAGGAACACAAGGTTTGTGAACCATAGGAAGACCATAGAAAGAAGGAAGAGAATGACAAATGACACGGAAACGTTTTATGAGATCATAATGAGGTCAGAGACTAGACAGATGTCCAAGTTTATGGTTAAAATAAGTTATAAAGAGATCCAATTGGCTAGAAGTCAGAGGAGCATATGTGCGGGAGTCAGAGAGCAAGACATCAGTCTATATATACTCATCCATAATTTGTCAGAATTAGTTGCGGGTAACAATGGACGTAAAATTTGTGTATGCACGTTAATGCTGACACATATTGGTTTCTGCATTGCAGCTTCCGTCACCTCAGGCGAGGCGACCGTAGCTGCATTGGAGAAAAAGACCGAAGATGACCTCAATATGTCTTCTTCTGTTTCATTTATTCTTATCTTCTACCTCAGACCAGAATTACCTCCTACAAGCTGCTGCGCTTAGTTGGTAGCCTCCTACAAGCTGCTGCACTTAGTTGGTAGCCTAGATATTTCCCCCCCAAACAAAGACAGTTTACCTGCACTGTCTGGACTGTGATGTTGGCGTTGACCTCAACACGCCCCGGCTGGTGCTCGAAGTCTAACTTGATGTCGGTTTCAGCTTGTGTTGACTGTCAATAGATGGCAATTTATGGGGGAGGTATCATATATTCATGTGCATTATATATATATACATATATATATATATATATATATATATATATATATATATATATATATATATATATATATATATATATATATATATATATATCATACCAAATATAGCTAAAAAGACACGATATAAACACACTTTTCAAAATATGAACTCAGAAACCTTAGCGTTGTAGTCCATACCAAAATGAATACACCTTACCTCGAGCAATATATAGCCTTTATATTTTTCCTGTCCCTGTTCCATCATTTTGGACGAGTCAAACGCCAGGACGAGCATGTGTGGGTGAGCATAGTCACTGCCGTACGTACAACCAACTTGAAGTTGTGTCTTGTCAGGGTTTGCTATCAAGTTCCCTGAAGTCGAAGAAAACACCTCGACCTCCTTCTTCCTTTGCCAGTTTCCTGACAGTTCCCAATTAACTGTAAAAAAGAGATTTATTTTTAGTCACCTGCAAATATTCAATTTCCTGAACTCTTCAGTTGAAGGTGTCTTTAACAATTATACAAGTCCATATACTGTTCTAACATGCACTACTTCAGGCCACTAGAGATTTATTACAATTATTTGCAATTTCATTTTACTTTTCAAGTTGTATAAAACTCGTGGTGTTATAAATCGTTGTTGTGAAGGCCTGGAGCCAGGAGTTGGAACATTGTTGGTTGGTGAGCAGCGAGTGTATGCGTGTGTGTTGCCTGTGTGTGCGTGTGTTGTGGATGCTGTGTGTTTGTTGTGTTCCTGTGTGCGTGTTATGGGTGTCATGTGTGTGTGTACTTAACTAGTTGTACTTACCTAGTTGTGCTTGCAGGGGTTGAGCTCTGGCTCTTTTGCCCCGTCTCTCAACTGTCAGTCAACTAATGTACAAGTTTCTGAGCCTACTGGGCTCAGTAGGTAATGCAACTGGTAACTACAGGACGCCTTAATCCGCTTGGCTATCACGACCGGACAAAAGGAAGTGATAGCCGAAGCTATTTGAACCACTTCCCCGCCGGCACTCGGATGGTAATCTTGGGCATAGCATTTTATCAAATCACCTCATTCTTTGGGGCACACGTGAGGAACACAAATGCAAACAAGAATCTTCAAGAATATGTAATCTTCTTACACCCTGAGTTTGGTCTATTATGCAAGTATTTTTTATTCAATATTTCTCTTGTTAGGGTGATGTCATGCGCTTGTCTCATGTGATTCCTGGGGGCACCTGATTGAAGATGACAGGTCAAACGCCTCGTCAGTTTGGTCGACGTTATACCTATATACTTAGATTGAAGGTTACATCCTTCGTGGGGGCAGGTGTACATATATATTACGTTTGACTGCTGTTTTAAAGGGTTCTCCGCCGGCTTCGGACTGTTGTTATAAGGAGGTCGGTAGTTTTCTTTGTTTCATGGAATATGATTAGGTCTATGTTTTGGTTAGGAGTTGTGCTTTTTACTCCTTTTTGAAATATTTCTTTCATTACTCTCTCATCTTTTTTATGTTAACAATGCATGGTTGATTTGTAATATAATTTTAGTGGGGGTGTTGAGGTTTCTGTTCTTGGTTCCGGATTGTACCACCAGTTCAAGTGTGGTCTTATAGAAATGTTTATCTCGTGGTTACTGTTGTTGTTATTTTAGATTCAGCTACTAGGAACAAACAGTTCCAAGTAGCACGGTCTATAGTGAGCCCGTAGTGGACTTACCTGGCACAGTAGCGTGGCTGTAACTATGTATAAGAGATTGATTGATGACGATTAAGCCACCCGAGAGTTGGCACGGGCATGAATAGCTCGTAAGTGGTAGATTTTTTGTTTGGGAGTGAATGTATAGCGTGCTGAGGTCACACTGAAATCGTCAGGCCCTAATATGTGGCTGCTATCGCGGGGGAGGATACTGCTTGACCGTATTTATGTGGGTGTTCGGCTGCTGGACACTTTTTTGACCAGAAGAGTGGCAGTGTTGATGGCTTCAGGGTGTTTTTTCAGTGGAATAGAGTGGTTGGCTGCACTTTTAATTGCTTAGACAAAATCTTGTTCTGCCTGATTAAAGTCTTCGATGACAACATAGTTTCTATGCCACTCTGAGGTAAAGTTTTGAAAGTGGTCCCATTTTGCTAGGTGGAGGTGGAGATGAGAGTAAGGTCTAATCTGCCTCCTTGGATGTGAGTGGGTTCAGTATTGATTAGGATTTGGACTTTTGGTATCTTATCTAGTAGATGTGCTTTGTGAGTGCCGGCCTTATTTGTGTTTGAGCCCAGTGCCTAACGATGATGGGCATTGAAATCACCACAAATTATTGTGTTTGAGGTGGTCGCGTGTCCAAATAACACTGAGAGATCCATTTCAGCACGTGGAGACCTGTAAGCATTAAACACTTCAAGTTTGTCGTGTCTTAGCTCAATGGATACTCCCATCACCTCTGTCCCTGGCCCACACTCGGGTGGTCTGGTTATGGGCTTGGAGATCAGGTCACATTTCACACAGATGGTACATCTGTTGTTGTTGTTGCTTAAATTTAGCTACCCAGAACGTTCGGTTATTCGCGATAATCTTGTTACTCTGATATTTGGGTCAAAGGTTTTAAATGGAGGTGGGGTTTCCTCCTTTTTCCCTGTTTCTTTTTCGCTTCAGTTTTAGTCGTCTTTTAATAACATTATCTTGGTGGCGGATGTAAGTGCAGAATGTTCACTAGTGAGTCCCATTCTTTAGCGGCTTTTCTAATCATTGTAGCGGCTGACATCTCCTGATTGATTGATTGATAAAGATTAAGCCACCCAAGAGGTGGCACGGGCATGAATAGCCCGTATGACATCTCCTGGATTGCCCGTTCTTATATACTTTGTATATAATAAAAAAATCGTATTTATACTGCTTGGAGGTCAGGTACATACAAATAGGTGAGGGGTGAGGAGTAAAGGTAAGAGACATAGGTCAATAACCCATACCTATAAGGTTAGCCAGGTGTATTGGGCATGACGTTTTTAACAGTGACGTCATCACTAGTATCTTTTGCGTTCCAGTCTTGTTCTCACTCTCATGATGAGTGGAGTGAATAGTTCCCTTATTTGAGTCTTTATGGTGGGTCGTTCCACTTTTATAACTCACCATAAATACTCTAATAACCGAACTATTCACTCAAATTATAGTTCTATTATTCTACTAATTAATAGAATAATAATTAGATTAGGTCTAATCTGTTTTCAGTGTAACATTGGCGGCGGTAAAACACTATACCCCAATATTATCTCAAGAAGTAGCCTTCTTGTACGCTCCATGTGCAGTTTTTCTATTTGTGCAGCAAACCAGTGATTTTGTTGAACCAGTCATTATTGTCACTGCCATAAAGCAGACCTCCGTCAAGGCACTCACATTGCAGATGCGATTAAGTTCTTTTCCTGCCAGGTGCTCTCCTTCTTCCTGCTTTACTGTGGGTGAGCTGAGTTTCAGTGGGCACTTAAACTGCCTGTCTATGGCTGTGTCTGCATCGGCTGTGCGCACGATGCTTACACCAATCCTTCATGATTCATTTGTCGCCTACGCAGTTTGGTCAGTTTAAGGACCTCGCTTGCATGGTCTCCCTTGCTCTCGACTCAGTTTTCTGTCATTGTCTTCAATCATTTTAATGGATAAACGCTTAAAAATTGTGCACGACATAGGTATCTACTAGAATAAACTTTGTACCAATAAAATAAAAAATAGAGATAAAATATAAAAGATTCAAAGATATTTAATTTTGAACTTTCTGGGTCTAATACAAAGAGAGTTGTAAGAGAAGACTGAAGACACTAAACAAAAATGTGAAAATTGAAGATAGAATAAAAATGGGTGACATGCGGCCAGATTCACGAAGCAGTTACGCAAGCACTTACGAACGTGTACGTCTTTCCTCAATCTTTGACGGCTTTGGTTACATTTATTAAACAGTTTACAAGCATGAAAACTTGCCAATCAATTGTTGTTATTGTTATAAACAGCCTCCTGGTGCTTCGGAGCTCACTAACTGTTTAATAATTGTAAACAAAGCCGCCAAAGATTGAGAAAAGATGTACAGGTTTGTAAGTGCTTGCGTAACTGCTTCGTAAATCTGGCCCATGATCAGCACACAATTTAGTGAATCACTAAAAATATATTTCAAAGGGGTTAATATTGGTTTTCAGGAGGAATTCCTGAATCCCGTAAATTGGAAACCATGAGAACACAGGCACCAAATGATGAAACACAGGTTTTGTAAAACATACGAAATGACAGTTTCCGCTAATGGTAGACAAACAGTAAATTGTAAGAGAGAAGTGTGTGCTTGCCAACATTATTAACAATTTCAAAATTGTGTTTGATAAGCAAAAATAAGGAAGTTGGGGCACCTCGAACTTGGCTCTCTTCCTGAAAACACACCTGGTCACATGTACACACATCCCGACAATAACTTTATAAGTGTCTTACCTTTAACGCCTTCCTCCTGTCCTTGTTGGTGGTTACACGTCAGACGTCCTCCCAGTGTAAAGACATCAGAACCAAGAGTAAGCAACATCTCCGGGATAAATGTTCGTGAAGCTCCTTCCTCTTGTTTCTGAAGTGATACTTCAAGTTCCCCAGCAACCTTAGACTTTTCTAAATACTGAAGGGCAATCTTTTTAGATATTTCAGTATTTTCATACTGTCCTTCAATGCCAAAGCCCATTCCTCTAATAGCTATGTAGCCTCCAGCATTATTAGGTCTTACATTAAACAAGAAGTTAACTTTTCGATCAATGGAAGAGCCTGGGGTGTCAAAAATAGCCTCAAGGACATTTTCTTGCTTTTTTATATATAATTTGTAATAGTTAAATGTGTCAGTCTTAGCTACCACAAAATCGTTAACATACGGTTCACCAGTATAAGACTCTCCGTTAGGGCTGTGTACACTGTTAGCGAGGGTGCTGCACGCCCTCACACCAAGAGCGTTGGTGAGGCTCTCTGACCAACACCGTGTATTTGATGCTGAAACTCTAGCTCTTTGTGTTTCCCAGCCATTTATCTTAGTTCTGAAAAGTGCCACTTCTACTGATGATCTCAACCTCGTAAGTTCAGATTTAGGAATATCAATTTGTGCTTCAGCAATCTGGCCATTTTCAATAGCAATTTTGCCTCCAAAATTAGTACGGGCAATCTGAGTTGTTGTTCTTCTGATGCCACTAGAAGAACCGTACCCGTCTACTATGAGTGTTTCATCTACTGCTACTACCGCCGATGGTGCAACTCTGCCTTCCAGGAGCACACCTTGGGTACCTCTTCTCTGGAACGTTTCCTTGCGGTTAAAGGTGACTGAACCAGTAGCATTGAGTCTCAACTTGAGGGGAAACCCAAGAAGAGTTGTGCTCATATATTCCTGATCCATAACCTGTGCAAATTAAAGTAAATATATGAAAAAATTACGGTAACATTTGGGTTGCTTCGTAAATCATAAAATTTAGTATATAACTAAATATGGTAATTTTACATTACGTTGATTAAGATAAATATACATAGTGTTGTATCATAAGATATCTGTCAACAAAGACACATCCTTACACTATCATTACCCTGAGTCCCGCTTTAATTAAAGAGGTCGGGGGCATCCACCCGGGGACAGCACGGAAGGAAACAATGAAGATAGTTATAGATATTAACAACTGTGAAAATTGTCCAGTTATTGCATCATTCAAGTTATTTAGGTCTAGCATCAGACCAATTATACTTCAGCGCGGCACTCACCCGCTATGAAGCACGCATACATTAAACAACACTGAACAGTACTTAAATCTTACCTGAAAAGATCTAGGGGTTGAAAACTGCTGGACAAGTTGATGAAGGAATCGCATTGGGTTTGTTTTGAGAAGATTCTCAGAGTATATAATCTCATTACCAAACACTCTAAGATACACGGAGGCCTTAGGCTCCTCCTCACTGAGCTCAGGCACCTCAGCGGCCGTTTGTTCCTCGTCATATAATTTCTGAAATTCTTGAATCTTGTCATTACGAATAATATTTCTCTTTGGCCTAAAAGTCTGCAAAACATTCAAAATTTCTTCGTTTTCAAAATATCCGTCATTGCTAAAAAATCTTTCTATGATGTCTTCCATGCGACTGAAGTCTCCGCCAAACTCGAGGACATTTAAGGACTTATCAAGAACATCAAGAGTGAGGTTGAGAGACACTTTACGAGGTATATACGAGTCCGGAGTAAAGATGACGTCACTGGCAACACTCCCACCAAGGTTCAACTGGAAAATATTACATTTGTTATCATACAAGTTATTAATTGCAGTATAGTATTATATATCAAATGACTAACATCCCTACAGTAATAAATATAATGCAAAATTCAGAATTGAACTCAAAATATAATGCATGTTTAGTAACTTATTTTGAACTGCAATGCCACAGTGGAGCAATACTGCATTAAAGTTGTATTCAATACACCGGTACTCATACAATGACACTTTTATACATTTACTGGTCTTAAATAAAATTATTTACATATTTTTCACCTTTGATAACTAAAATGATTCCTTTTTGTAAATTCTAACCGAATATTCTTAGATTTCTACATAATTTTCACACTTATTAATGTTTCAGTATTATAAGTTGCCTGTACAAGTAGTGATAGTACACTGGTACAAAATCATTGCGTCCTAGTAAGGTCTAACCATACAATCTGCTTATTGGGATTCAAATCATATTTTTTTCTTGTTCAGGTATTTTCTATTTTTAAAAAGGCGCAAGGCAGACATAACAGCAATGTAACACTTGTTTAATATATTAAAGGTATTTTGATAAACACAAAAAGATGAGAAAATATAGAGGAAAGTTTTGTTGAAAATATTAATACATAAAACAAAAAAATAATGAACCGCCCCAGAAGGTGTGATGACCCATACTAAGCGGGTCCCTTGTAAACCCAAACCCCCTCTCCCTTATTACTCTGAGAGTATTTAAGAGTCGACTCACTGGTGGGTTTGACACTGTCAACTTAAAGTAAATGAAAAAGAATGAATAGCTGTGCAGGCGATGAGTCACAATAACGTGGCTGAAGTATGTTGACCAGACCACACACTAGAAGTTGAAGGGACGACGACGTTTCGGTCCGTCCTGGACCATTCTCAAGTCGATTGTGATGAGGAAGTAGGGAGAGGCAATAAATAGGCAAGAGAGAGCTGAGGACACTTTACCTCCTCATCACAATCGACTTGAGAATGGTCCAGGACGAACCGAAACGTCGTTGTCCCTTCAACTTCTAGTGTGTGGTCTGGTCAAAATGAATAGCTCTTCACTTTTGCCATTTAGATATTTATCCAGCAGTTGACGTTCCACGGTGAGCTTCCAGGGCATATACTCATGCTGCTCGTATTTACTTGAAGCCTATAACTATCAAACACTGATTTAAAAGTAGAGATTCAAATGCTAGAATACCAACTTAATGATCAAATCATCACACGATCCACATAACCAATAAATTCTTAGTTAAATCCAACTGGATATCCCAATATAAAAAGGGAAGGGCTTTATATTCATGTACAATATTTCAGGTACTAAAACTTAGGTCCTGTTTAATAATTTGTTGGTGACTGTCATTCTCAATAAAAGAAAACTTTGTCTGAATAGCTAGAAGTACAAGAACCTGACCTTTCCTTAGTGATATAATCTTACTCTCCATTCTCTTATTTTTGTCACGTGATGTCTTAGAGTACGGGAACTGCCCATTTAATTACCTTGCATGTTTTCAATACAATCAGAATCCCTACCAAGCAAGGGGCCGGGTGCGGCTCTAGAAATTACTACATCTCCTGCAGTTTCATCAAAGAACTGAAAAAGACACAGATCATCTAATTAAACTACAGCGAACACTTACAGTCTCACTGAACTGAGCATATCGGTAGTTCTGAGAAGAGCGGAATGTGTTAATGCTGAACTTGTCAGGAAGAGTGTGTTGAGCCGCCAACTTGGCTAACCGTTGGTCGTAATCACTTGGTCCGGGATTTTCAACCAAGTTATGCACATGTGTCCAAATATACGACCCAACTGTGGACATTAAAAGATTGATTGAACTAGACAATTTACGATAAGTAATAACATCAATATAAAATAAATGTAATATTTATTTTTAAAGCAAAATAATTAGGACAAACTAAATATGGAATTGAAAATAACTGGTTAACAGGGCAAATATAATTCATCATTCTTAAAGGCATCATTCCATCATCATTCATTCTTAATCCATTATTCTTAAGGGCAAATATAAAGCATTACCTAAATAAAACTTTATATAAACATTTATTATATTTTAATGATAAATACAAAATAAGTAAGACTAGTGTTGAGTTAAAAATATTTGTTAACCAGGCTATCAGAAATATTTTTTACTTCTTTATCATGAATAACAAATTCTACTTTTTACTCAGAAAAATAATTTCATTTCACATGATAGTGGTAATTTTAGATTTATCTAAAAATGAAGATTATATAATAGGGACAGGAACACTTGAGACAATGCTATTCACCCTAGAAGGTTCATTCATCTACATTTCCAAATTTCTTTCAAGTAATTCTCAAACTCAAAAGACAGCCAAATAAATATATTGCTCTGCTAATAACAAGTTGGCATATTGGAGGAATTAGTGAACTGCTGCTTTCCCTGCCTGGTGTAAGTCCCCGTGGCCGGTGCAGCCCTGCTGTCAGTACGGGGATGTCCTCGCCCCCGCTGAGACGGTCCGTGTAGGCTGGTTTGAGGTTCTCGTGCAAGGTGGATTTTGAGACCTTGAGTGCTACGACTTTCGACGTTTTGAGAGCTAACAGTGAGTATCTGATTGGTTTTCAAATGCTTCGATTAGACGGTACTAAGATGAATTATTCGATATGGTGCGGTGGAAGGTATTTGTCAGAACAAGCATTCCTTTGGTAGAGCGAAGGGTCTTCTGAAAGGCACTCGAACCGTCAAGATGGTCATTAAATAAGACATCCTGTCTTCTGTGATGCTTGTGGGGCACAGAGTCCGTTTCATCTACTCGGGTCAGCCCAGGACCTCTTATAAATATTGGTGTCCTGGCCATGGCCGTCGGGTGTACTGTGAACTGGCTGACCGGGATAACATCAGGGACACGGACTTCCCTCTGTTGTGGGTGGAAAGTAACGTCTCAAAATCGGATGGTGGCCCTAGCAGCGAGGAGACCCACATGAATGATGTTAATGGCTAATGTTCGGAGAACGAAGAAGTTTCGACAGCAGTGTAGGGCATGGTACCTGCCATAAGGTGTGAGGAGGATCCTGCGTGTTCAGAGGCGTGCCATGTTGGTGTGCTTATTCCTGATTCTCCAGGAGGTCGTGACTTAATGATGCAGCAGGTGGTGGTAGATGTAGAGGTCCCGCCACCGGTGGGAGGGGTGGTGGGTGGTTGCCCTCCCCACATGCCTTTGTAGCAGAGTTGGCGTCAGACAGAGTCGTCGAGCACACATTGGCTCCAAGAAATGTAAAATATGCACCCCCAAACCACAACAGGAAAGCGGCAGAGCACAGTTTGAGAGTTGGAACCTCTGAGGCAGACATGTGGCAAACCTTGACACCAGATCTTCATTTCCTGAACATGAGAAAAGAGCATAGCTTAGCATCGAAGACTAATTAGCTAAATCCACCTTAAACCACTTGAGAGCATCGAGTGAACTTTGTGTCCTCGAACACGAGGAATAGTGTTCGAGGACACAAAGACAGCGAAACTATGCAAAAAAGGGAATTCCCCAAATAGAAGACCCCCACTGGCTAAGGAATGCAAACAGTTGCCAACCAAGAGCTGGAGTGAGCAGTAAACAAAAGTACTACATCAATGCTAAAATCAAAGTAGGAAACACCACAAGAACGGTAGATCCTCCTGAAGCTAAATCAAGGAAATAAGCAAGCTAGAATAGCAAAGTCCAAGAGTCGAATCTTATGAGAAAAAACAGAGCTACACCCAGTCCTCAATTCTCGAAAGGAGTTGAACAATGCAAAAAGCAGCCAGAGGACTCGAGGAAAATAGTACCGAAAACCTCAAAACTTGGTGGAGAACCACAGATATAGGATATGTCAAGGGTCGGATAAGGAAAACAACTGGCAACCATCAACAAACAATGATCATCACTGCAAAATTAGAGACACCAACAACCTCGCCACAGCCTAGAGCACCAAGGATGCAAAAGCTACTGAACCAGCAATGCTTGCAGAGTCCCACTAAGTCACAGAGAAACGATAGAAAGGACCACATCTAGGAACTGCATAAGTGACAAAACACCCGATGCTGAAAAAACTGAATGAGAACGCAGACTCCTAAACTAACCAAAACCATGGGAAGTAAGTCCACAAAGAAAGGGCAAATGCAGAATCTCTCAGTCACCATGGAAACCAAAGCTTGATCCACACAGAGGGAAAGAATAATAAAAAAAGAGATCAACGACCGAAAGAAAAGCAGAGCCCAAAGATGAAAGTTAACCAGCAAAATATATTTTAACAGTAAAGGAAGTAGTCAGGGTAAAAGTCCAGAACTTAAGCTCGAAATCGACACCCAAAAATTGCAGATCAGGTAAAAAAACTCACAAGGGAATAATAACCAGTTGAGTGGGAAGACAGTCTAAAAACTTTGGTGTTTCTAAAGCAGGCTCAAACTCCTGACTGTTGTGGTGACGGTGATAACAGCTAGTAGAGGGGATGGTTAACTGCCAATTATCACGTGCAGGGGTGCTAGTGGGCCGGGGGGGGGGGTTGTAACATCAAGTTGGTGGCTTGAATTATATTCACCATTGTCTCCCATTACTAATACGTTACAGGACCATAATAAAGCACCTCACATGACAAGGATAAAAGACACAAGGGAATGGCGGGTGGTACTGGACCATAAAGCTCTGACTTATGGAGCATCTGAGCCAGTCTTTGCTCAGAGTGGCAGGAAAGTATTTAGAATGCACTATTTTTAAGCGATTTTCTCTTCAAAATATATTCAAAATCATGTTCAAAATCATTTGGACTTAAAACAAGAAATTGATACAAAAAGCAAACCGTTGAAACGATCAAAATTGTAGTCGGAAAAAAGAGGATGTTTGCAACAGATATCTGGCTTCAGATACATCTGGCTGGCAGACAGCTCAGGTATCACAGACACATCCACAAAATTACCACGACTCTGAACTTGTGCAGGCCTACCATGCATCTTGATAATAATCTGGTGTGCTTATTAAGTGAGGAACACATGGGGTGTCTGTGAATGGTCGTGATTGATTATGACTTATTTATGGACGTGCCTTACCATTTTATGGGACTCTGCTTGGGTGATGAATAAAGATTTTTTCGGGTTCATTCCGTTCCACTGTACTGCTTTCATTGTCTTTGATTTTGGAGAATCGATGTGCAGGAGTAAGCTTCCCTTTCTATGAGCCTAGCACTTCCGGACGATAATCAACGGATCGGCTAGCCAGTTCCCATTGAGTGTGGTAGCATGTATGCATTGTTTACTTATGCTACCTGCAGTTTCCAGGGAGGCTAGTTAGTGCGGCACCTGAGAGGTGTGCCTTCTCTCTCTCCCGAGTAGTATTTATTACTGAAGCAGGGGAGTCATGCTATTCGTTTGGCATTTATTTGTACTACTGTTTGTCAAGGGCTCCTATTGACTAGGCTTGGGACCTCTTGGGTTCTTTACGTATTTATACGTGATTCCATCGGTTTGAGTGAGGATTCCTTGCCGGTGATAACTGTGATTTCAGAGCCCAATCCCTCCTCCTTGGCTCATCCTAAGTGTTTGTGGGAGGATTTGACAGTCAGCTTTTCCAGGGATTGGGGCCTTTGGCGCTTCTACACATCTCAGATATTTTCCTCTGGTTCCAATGTAGATTTCGGTTCCATCTCTTGACAACTTTGCCTGAAGATGGGGGTTCTTGAGGTTCGGGATTGTAGAAAGTTGGGCAACTGCCTCGTGGAGGTTCTGGGTATCAACGGCCCCGCGGCTCGGTCTTCTACCAGATCTCTGGGTTGGTCATCTGGTCAGCCAGGCCATTGGACGCGGCTGCTCGCAGCCTGACGTATGAATCACAGCCTGATTGATCAGGCAAGGGGTGTCCTTTGATCGATATTTGTCGTTGGTACCAATACCTGAGAGGCTGGTCCTTCCGACTGGTACTCTATTATCCCTCATTCCAGTTTGAGCTGTATGGTGCCTCATCTTTCCCAAAGGTAGGTGTCCGAGTCAGAACCAGCTTACACCATACAAATTTCAACACTCCCATCTTCCGACCTAAAGGTTTGACTCGGTAACCAAGATATTACATGAGAAATGGAATCCGAAACATGAGAGTTCTCCTCCAAAACCACTTCTTGGGTACGTTATGGAATCCCATGTTCCTCCTGGTTGGTGAACAATTCTTCATTCTTCTTAGGGAAATTGGATTGGGAAGAGGCTACCCCAATGCGTTTTTAAGAGTGTTCCTAATGGACTTTATTTTTCTGTTCATCCCTTTGAGTTGAATTCGTGACAGCTTCATATCTATCCTGGTTCCTAAATTGTCTGTGTCTACAGTCGTGGAAGACTACATGGTACCATGTATACCATGGTACCATGGTACCATGTATACCATGGTACCTTATATTTTTGTTCCATTCTGGATATGTTTTCAGAACTACATACTTTTGGTTCTTCTTTCTCTTGGTCTACCAAGACATGTCAGTGGATCCTTTGGCGAAGCTTTTAAGTCTTCTCCTTTGTGATACAGTGACATATTTCAATGTTGCAAATTGATCTTGTCAGCGTGCGTTCTTATATTACCTCCACCGTCTGTGCTTCTTCACAGTAGTGCGCACGGCAAGAAGCGTCGTCGCTTCTCCGTCTTCAGGGTTGTGGTTCGGTCATCGGGTCCTCTGCTTTTTATTGGGGTCTTCTGATGGTGGAGGCTTGACTGATACGGTCAGGGTGCATTACGCCCTTGGGTTTGTTTTCGCAGTGTGTGGAATTATTTCGTGCTAATATCGCTCTCAAGCAGTGGCTCACTTTGTTAATCCCGTTTATTTGATGCGTGTGTTCTCTTAAATTTTCAATTCATTTGGTCCGGGGACAAGCAGCCTGTGTACTTATAAGCCTGTATATGTTAGGCTTATATGGAAGTTCCCCCTCAGGTCGAACTAATTATCTTTTCTAGGATGCAACCACACAACATGCCAGGTAATTCCTGGGTACCTATTTACAACTAGGCGAACAGAGACATTTGGTGATAGGAAACGTGCCCAACCATTTCTGTCCCAATCCGGGATACGAGCCTGGAAATCCAGATTGTGAGTCGAGATCGAACCCAACTGCTATTGTTGCCTTCTCTGCAGAAAATATTCGTACCCTGGGTACCCTGGGTTTCAGGCGGTCTAACAGCTTTAATTACTTCTTACATTTTGAATGTTCTTTGCCTGAGATTATGTGACGGTGTCTTTCTAGTCGCTGGGTTCCCCATACCATGTTTCCATCTACATCCCAACAATGGTCAGTCCTTCTGTCATTGCTTGTTCCAAGATTAATCTGTTTCGTTTAGCCGAAAAACGCTGTGAGTATGACCTCGGGAACTAGCGATGGCCAACCCAGAAATCAAATATTGACTGTAATGTAAATGCTTTTTTCTTTGCGGTCTTCCATTCTCTGCATATCTTGAGGTTATCTTGAGATGATTTCGGGGCTTAGCGACCCCGCGGCCCGGTCCTCGACCAGGCCTCCTTTTTGTTACATACACCCCCCCAGGAAGCAGCCCGAAGCAGCTGTCTAACTCCCAGGTACCTATTTACTGCTAGGTAACAGGGGCATCAGGTTGAAAAAAACATTTTGCCCATTTGTCTCCGCCTCCACCGGGGATCGAACCCGGAAACTCAGGACAACGAATCCGAAGTGCTGTCCACTCAGCTGTCAGGCGCCCTGCATACTGACTCTTATTTGCCTTCTTTCCCCGAGGGGCTGAGGTGCGTGTTGAAGCAACAGGTAAGTGAGGAGCCAGGTAAGATGGACTCTTGGGCGACCTGAGCTGCTGCCATCTGGTGATGCGTCTGGGTACTACGTATGGTTTGTTGACATTGGGTAGAGCACTGCTTCTTTGTTTTCATCTTTTCTCGATTTCATATTCTTCTTATAAATACTTAACGGTACTTTGAAAGTACATACAGTATTTGGTGATTAAGATGAACATTCTTACAAGGCCACTGACATGCATAATGTTTTATGACACCTAATTTGTTTTGCAAAGCCTATACTTTTTTTTCCAGGTTTTACATCTTTTGGGTCAATCTCATATTCGCAGCCCATCCTCCAGTTCTGGTGACGATGAGGATCATAGTACATATACCGATGTACAACGTAATTAGAAAGTAGAAATCGGCACTATTGAATTTGGAAAAACCGAAAAAAGATTTTCTATTAATGTTGCAAAGACAAACTAAAGTAACCTAACCTTTCTAGGCCTAAAACACCATATCTGCGGCCTAATATAGTACGTGTGTGCTATACTAAAAATATTTTAGATTTTTTAGTTTCATTTTCGGACTCTTATAAAGGGACTATTACAAAATTCTACTATCGAATTGCTTAGGACGTGAATTTTTGAACTATGGTTCACAAAGTTACAAAAACTACTATCTAAGCAGGATAGTTATGCTCCCTCGCCTCAATGAGGACACCAGAATCTAATCCTTACCCTTGTAGAGCTGTGGAGGTCTCCGTGGTACCGGAGACAATGCTCTTGGGAACTACTAATACCGTTCAGAAAAGGTATTTTTCATTACATTCAATGCTTGAATTTTTTAAAACACTTCTGAATTAAAGTGATTTTTTTTAAATTAAGACGTGCTATATTTATCGAAAACGTATTTTGTTACCTTGATTTATATCTTCTCGTTCTAGAAGATAATTTATCCTGGTGAAGAAGCCAGGAGTGTTGAGGGCACACGGGACGAGTGAAAGGTAAGCTGCTATCCGGACATCGACCTTCTCGCTCCCATCCTCCAGAATCTTTAAAACAATACAAATGATCTTGTATAGTTCTACACGGAAGATGCATACAGCAACTTAAGCTCCAAAAGTCACTTTAAAACCAAGAATATACCTAACAAATATGGTTAACTTTTGTTTCCCTTTTAATGGTACAAATATTATTAAGGTCTTATACACACTTGTGAACTTACTACTAATCAAGTAAAGAATAATCAAGTTATGCAAAGGAATATGCCTGAAATAATTACTACAAGGTAACAATAAAAAGAATTCAATTAATTTATATTGTAAACTTTGCAAGAAAGGCAGATGCCAGTGCAATTGTTTGCCAGACGGGAAATAATTAGTATAATTAAGCAGTACAAACACCCGAGGAAACAATACTGAAAACATGACAGTCAGTCCAGATGCACCTGCATTACTAGGGACGCTCTTACACTACTCTGTATATATAAAAACAAATGTATGTTTGTCTGGCCAAGGTTGGAGGCCAGATGCTTGGGACTGTCCTCACCCAACTTTTTAAGATGAGACATGGATGGTATGAGAGTGTCATAGGATAGTTGGTATCAGCCCCAGTGAGAAATATCGGCACTTTTTAGCCCCTTTAAGAAATATCGGCTTTTATTTTTATCATAAGGTCTGAAATCAGGAAAATCTGTGGAGTTTTAACGGGTTTACAGCTGTTCAATAATGTTTTTGAGAGAGAGAAAGAGAGAGAGAATTGATTGAGATTCAAACCATAACTGTTTGCCCCTGTTCACCCAGAAGTAATTGTGGACCTGAGAGTACAACTGATGGGCAGGTCGTGTTCCAGGGAATAAACTAGTAGCATTAGGTATACGTTGAGCTATTGAAAGAGAAAGCTCTCAACCTCCTTGAAGGAGTTTGGAGGCGTCTACTCCACAAGTTTTTATGAGAATTAGGGCAAATCAAATTCCAAACAACCCCTTGTCCTTTCAAAGGAATTCCCAACTTTCATGCAAAGTCATCTAATATTCTATGTTCTGGTATGATGTGCAAGATTATTAACATGTCCAATAAATACTTTGCGGACTCACTAGTTCTGTGAGCATGAAAAACTCTATTAAAAAATATCAGTAATATCTAAATCATGCTTGTACAAGGCCCTTCACAGGGAAGCCCAGGGAGGCTTAACGAGGCTACAACAGGTCTACCTTCCAGGGAGCCGCAGAGCGAGGAGGACAGCCAATACGTCTGTAGCTCTGGAGAGCAGCGACTCGCACCTCTGGCGCCAACAGTCTGTTCTGTTAAAAAATGTATTTATGAGATTTTTGAAATGTTAATTTTGACATAGTTTATATACATAAAATGTTGAACTTTGTCTCCGAGTTTGCAAAATGTAAGTGTATATATTGACAAACTTGTTTGGTTCACAAACCAAATTGATTAAAATTAGCAATTTTTAACAATTACAATTTATCAACAATCAGGTAAACATTTTTCCATAGGTATAACAAGCCTTTAAAATTTCAAATAATTTAAAGAAGGCTTTGAAATAATGTGGAAAATTTCTTTCTGAGCTGTATCATTCAAGTGCTTCTTCGTGTAAGATTTTCACTGTCCTTGGACACTTGATTGACTACAGTGACACGGCAAATTTTCAACCATCTTTAAAAAGGTCATAATGTGCTGAGGAAGTCACCGAATAAATGAATCTGTCCGCTGCTGAGATGACTGGCAGGGGGTAAATCCAAAAGAAATCCGAGCCCGTGTCTGACCACCAGTGTCCGCCATGAACACTTGCACTCACTATACTACCTGAGCCACGACCAGCAGATACCACACCATGCCACACCTGTCTCTAGGTGCTGTCCCTCACTATGACTCCACTCTACACACGTGAGACGAGTCACACAAATTGTGGGAGGATCCGAAGCAGCCGAATGATGTGGTACAGAAAAAAGAGCTTTTTATTTGTACTGAATGTCTTATTTCAGAGCTCTTACATTCAGTTGCTCCCACGTCTGAGTTTTAAAATAGACGGAAAGGCATAAGTAATCTTGGAGAAATATCCATCTGTGCCGTAGAGAGGTGCACAAAAGCGGCAGTGAAAAAATCGAAAGTGAATCCGCAGGAGTCAGTACAGCCAGCATGACCGATGGAGATACAGTAAATGTGTGGAGAGGCAGCCAGCCAGGCAGGCAGGCAGTGTGGGAGCTTAAGCTGAAAGTATGACTAGACTTCGTCATCAGCTTTAAGCTTCATGACGAGCTTAGCCAGTCCCGAAGGTGTACAAAGGTTTATGAACCCTGGGATAAGCTTGCGACTGACGAAGCTTGACCACAGCTCAGAGTGCGTGATGTACCATCGGATTCAGGGACCAAGCCAGGAAAATAATTAGCCCCTTGCTAAGCGAAAATGTCTCGTCCCTCGCAAGATCAGGGTTTAAGTGGAGGTACACACGAGGGTCTCCCTGAGCGAGTACAGTATACCCTTGAGTGTGAGGAGCGTAAGACGGTTAGACTGAACACCTCAACACCAGAAGTCTAAAGTAACATCCTGAGTCAGACTCAACCATTACCCAGCACGGTACATGGAGGGAATAGTGGCCAACATGGACCCCATATTATTAAGGCATGTAAACAGACAATAACATTTTATTGATATATCAATGAACAAATCCACAGGAGCCGTGATGAGGGTTCGAACCTATGCGCTGTGTGTTCCCAGGCACACCCACTAATTGTGCCACGACATGGTCAAAAGGGAGTGTGTGTGAAATCCCGGTTCGGCTTCAATGGAAACCTCGGGATCCTTGTTGGTTTAGTAGTACCCCAGGTTGCAATTCTTTTTGACCATGTCGTGGCACAGTCGAGTAGAGCGTGTCTGGGGAACACCTAACGCATACGTTCGAACCCTCATCACGGTTCCTGTGGATTTGTTCACTAAGAGATGTAACAAAGCAAGAGTAAGACCTCATCCTCCTAAGAAAACAGGAAGAAAGGAAAACATTCTCCTCCTGACAGAAGTGACATACTAAGGTTATATTTAGAAAAGCAACTGGAACATAACATTGAATAATAGTATAATTTAAGTTAATGGGGCAAACACTTTATAAGTAAACAAGGATAAAATAGAACATGAGCAAACGGTTTCATAAATGAAATGCAATAATCAGATGACACTTAAAGAAGAAAGAACATAATTAATAGTAAAGCATCTTGGGTGTAACATGTAGACCCAAGACAGTGCCGGAGGTCATTGTCTTGGGTGTAACATGTAGACCCAAGACAGTGCCGGAGGTCACTGTCTTGGGTGTAACATGTAGACCCAAGACAGTGCCGGAGGTCACTGTCTCCGGCTCCCATGGTTAAGCTTGAGATGAATCCCGAGTCCAACTCAGACATATCAATAAAGAGTATGACAGGTGTGGAAGGAAGCCATTATTGAACTGATCCCCGAAAATACTACCTTGGAAATGGCTGCCGAATCAGACTTTCTATAGGCAATTAGGAGTACACTTGGAAATGCCAGATCTGGCATCAAGAAAGATGCTGCAAGTGCTGCCTAAGATGCCAGACCCATAGCTGTGCCAGGAAATAAAGAAGACAGACAAAGATAAACCTACCTAGGAGGTACTCTAGCATCTCACGACTTAAACATCATATAATAGAGGTATGAAGTTAGAAGCTCTACCCAAGCCTCCAGAAACTATTCTAGGTGTCTGGGTGCGAAACAAATATATTTCAAACTAGTCCAAATCAGTCAATTTTATCGAAAGTTAGAGGTGGGACTTCAACAAATTGATGAGAAAATATGGATTTCCATAGCACTTCCAATGCTTGATCTCGGACTAGTAGGTACTGCTTAGCACAGGAAGCCCAGATAACCCAGTCATCAAGATTTGGCCAAGACTTGGGTGCCGTAGCGGTAAAGTTTATGGAGTACCACCCTTGGTAAGTCTGGCGTAAATCGTATGAGCAAGGTTTAGCCAGAAAGTTGGAGCACCTTAAGTGGTAACTTGTGTGTTAGATAAATAGCCCCAGGAATTCCCTGAACCTTGAATGCACTGAAACATGCCCGAATGGATTCTGGGTATTTAGGGGACACTATCCTGAAGACAACACGTAATAAACTTGCACCACTGTGATCATCCAGAAAGTAGCACAAGAGATAAGGGCTTTGAGTCTGTGTTTCAGCACTTGGGAAGAGAAAGGACAGTACATGACAAGAGTCACCCAGACAACTCCCTTGTATAACATCGAATGTGAAAATGGAGGAACGCAAGAAGAATAAACAAGGAAAAGACTAGCATGACAGGGGTATCACGTCCATAAAATGGCATCCCACGGCAGGGAGTACCTTAACCTCCCACTAAAGTGGACAAGCAGATAGAACTCTTAACTGGACTCATGTAGAAAGATAACCCCCGCAGAATATTAACCCCAAGCTGGAGTCCTTGGGGACAAAGAGCAAGTCCCCAACTAAAGAGCCTCTTTGTGGCCTGTTGCAGTCGAAAAAACTGGTTCAAAGAATGGAACGTAAATTGGCTCTCTGAAAGCACATTTGGCGTCTCATTCTTAAGGAACTGAATGGTCGACAAAGGGGATGAGTGTAAGAAAGACACAGTCGAAGCAGACTCAACAAACACCATAATATGCACCATAAAATGCTGCTTGCAGCTTAGAAAAACACTGAGCCACTGCAAAAGAAACACCCAAGAATTTGTCCGGTGTTAGCCTTATCAATTCTGATTAAGCTGGGAGAAATACTCTCGTCATACCATTATGCTGAACACTACAGTGAGGTGAAATCAGTAAATGAAATTTGTCACAATGAGATGCTGAAGTAAACCTGAAACCTAGTTATGAAACAATCAACTCGCCACTTCACGAACAGGTAGAAGCTCATAAGACCCCATTGTTAAGGAACTCGTAAAGTCAGCCGCCAAAACCAACACTAATGACAGACAAACCTACATCAGCTCAAGTACATGAATGATAAAAAACAGCTCCTATGTCCCTTTATGAAACAAGAAGTGTTATGCGCGACATAGAGGAGGCAGGGACCCAATATTTCTACTATGAAGCAGACACAGACTTCAATAAAACTTCCATGAGATAAACTCAAAGATTCTTTTGTCCTGCAGTCTGAAGAGTAGTATGGTAAGCCAAGAGGTTAACAACAGTACACGAGTCAGAGCAACATCTATTACAGGAGAAGGACCAACACCACAAGCCACTCCCCTGACGTTCTTCGCCTGAAAGCCGAAAGTCGAGGTAACCAAGAGACGAGGTCCTACTTATAGTATAAGAAAGCGTCACAGAAAACCGTTAAAGTTGGAAACTCCAATCGCCATGTTTGATACTTGAGAGCTCAAGTCAACTTTCAATCCATCCCACAGGCAGCAGGCGCCACACCCTAGACTGAAACGGACCTTCAGCCCAAGATAATGAACGCAAGAAACAAAAAGGACGTGCGTTCGTAATAGATAAATTTATACAGCAATATGAAAAAAAGTTTAGTTAACTGCAACAGTGATGCACCATATTGCTCAACACTGAAGAATTCAAAATATAGGTTACGTTACTTTACAAGTCACCAGATCAGGTAAATCTGACTGAAATGTGGGAAAGTAGCTTGGATGCAGGAACAAGAATGTTACCAAACGCCATGAGGTCATTCTTCATATGAAGGTAAGGGACATCAAGACTATACAGTACAATTAAACAAAGTTCCACCATCGTGGCAAGCTGCGACATGAATGGAAAAAAACCAAGCTGCCTATGCACAACTGGAGGAAGCTGCCAGACTTATATTCAATTATGGATTAAAACGGGCCCACTTAACTGAATATTGCTGCCAGTCTGTCAGCAACACGCAAAGGAAACAGCCAGGGAGTAAGTGAGGTGTTAGTCAGTGAATTCTGGGATAAGCAGAATTCATTAGGATAAGGAACTCATTAGGTGACGACCAGTGGGGAAGAGAAGTAGTCCAGCTTTAGTTAGGAAGAGTGCTCATTTGGCATTCCCTCAACACACTGTTACTGAGGGATGTTTAACAGGTGGCTGTGGTGCCATGTCATATGTTGGCCTTCCTGACAGCATATATTTTGTGTTCAAGGAGACGGTGTACAACAGGCGAATGTATGAGCTCAGACAACTGACATGGAAGGTTTACAATAACTCAAATCACAATATTTGCCAGAGTATACAATGGTTTTCATAATTATAATGTTAGTATACTCTTTTTATCTATACAAACCCAATCCCGTGGAACTGAACTTATATCACTGTGTTTCCAGTAATATATGTATTGAGGCAAACATGAAAAAATGCCCTTAGGCCTTAGGTCATTTAGATTTTAATGAATAATGAAGATCTTTATCATATATATCATGTATATTAATTTATTAACTTAATAATAGGATAGAAGGTATGTCTCATGGACTGTTCGTCCAAATGCTCTAAACTATTTCGTCAATAAATGTAGTGAACCTACCTTGTAACAAGTCTCAGGAAAGTGACCATGTGGCAAGACTCCTGCATTGCCCAGGGCCCTGAGCAGTAGCTTGATGTGCTCTCCTTGTCTCTGACTCGCGCCATGTCCACACGTGTCTCCCACCTGCTCCTCCACATACTCCACAAGGGGCCTGGAGTAGGAATAAATATATTTTTGTGGTGTCAACTTCAGTTAAAAAAATATTAAGAGAGTAGACTAATATTTGTGATTGACAGTATCTGGTGGTGTGACGCTGAGTATTAAATATTCATTCTTTACTCTTTGTGTGTGTCAGTCACCTAACACAGTAACAAGCACAGACACCTAACACAGTAACAAGCACAGACACCTAACACAGTAACAAGCACAGTCACCTAACACAGTAACAAGCACAGTCACCTAACACAGTAACAAGCACAGTCACCTAACACAGTAACAAGCACAGTCACCTAACACAGTAACAAGCACAGTCACCTAACACAGTAACACGCACAGTCACCTAACACAGTAACAAGCACAGTCACCTAACACAGTAACAAGCACAGTCACCTAACACAGTAACAAGCACAGTCACCTAACACAGTAACAAGCACAGTCACCTAACACAGTAACAAGCACAGTCACCTAACACAGTAACACGCACAGTCACCTAACACAGTAACAAGCACAGTCACCTAACACAGTAACAAGCACAGTCACCTAACACAGTAACAAGCACAGTCACCTAACACAGTAACAAGCATGTATCCTCATGTCGACACGAGGACTGCTTCGGTAGTTGAGCATGTTTTGTATCTGTATCCTAGTCGTATATTACACCCATACAATATAGACATGTGAGGCTGCTATACCTTTTACTTGATGAAAATGGTCTATATCAACTACCCATATGGCAGTAAACATAAAAAAATGCATACTATAGTCTTCCTGGAACAATGCCAGTACACAGCCAAAATTGGATTATTATCAAATTATTTCTTGCTGCATATACTTTATTAACAAGTGTTTAAAGTTCTATAGTTATTATTAATATAATATATTCCATATGTCATTGGTGACCGCTAAGGAAATGTTCTGGAAACAGCAGTTGGCATGAGTTTGGCCCCCCCTCAGATGACTTGGCATGATTGCCCCCCCCCTTAGATGACTTGGCATGATTGGCCCCCCCTCAGATGACTTGACATGATTGGCCCCCCTCAGATGACTTGGCATGATTGGCCCCACCCTCAGATGACTTGGCATGATTGGCCCCCCCCCTCAGATGACTTGGCATGATTGGCCCCCCCTCAGATGACTTGGCATGATTGGTCCCCCACTCAGATGACTTGGCATGATTGGCCCCCCTCAGATGACTTGGCATGTTTGCCCTCCCCCTCAGATGACTTGGCATGATTGGCCCCCCCCCTCAGATGACGTGGCATGATTGGCCCCCCCCCTCAGATGACTTGGCATGATTGGCCCCCCCCTCAGATGACTTGGCATGATTGGCCCCCCTTCAGATGACTTGGCATGATTGCCCCCCCCCTCAGATGACTTGGCATGATTGGCCCCCCCTCATATGACTTGGCATGATTGGCCCCCCCCCCCCTCAGATGACTTGGCATGATTGGCCCCCTCAGATGAGTTGACATGATTGGCCCCCTCAGATGAATTGACATGATTGGCCCCCCCTCAGATGACTTGACATGATTGGCCCCCCCTCAGATGTCTTGACATGATTGGCCTCCCCCCCCCTCAGATGACTTGACATGATTGGCCCCCCCCCCTCAGATGACTTGACATGATTGGCTCCCCCCCTCAGATGTCTTGACATGATTGACCCCTCCCCTCAGATGAATTGGCATGTTTGCCCCCCCCCCTCAGATGACTTGGCATGATTGGCTCCACCCTCAGATGACTTGGCATGATTGGCCCCCTCAGATGACTTGGCATGATTGGCCCCCCCCCTCAGATGACGTGGCATGATTGGCCCCCTCAGATGACTTGGCATGATTGGCCCCCCTCAGATGACTTGGCATGATTGCCCCCCCCCTCAGATGACTTGGCATGATTGGCCCCCCTCAGATGACTTGGCATGTTTGCCCCCCCCCCTCAGATGACGTGGCATGATTGGCCCCCCCTCAGATGACTTGGCATGATTGGCCCCCACCTCAGATGACTTGGCATGATTGGCCCCCCCCTCAGATGACTTGGCATGAATGGCCCCCACCTCAGATGACTTGGCATGATTGGCCCCCCCTTCAGATGACTTGGCATGATTGGCCCTCCCCTCAGATGACTTGGCATGATTGGCCCCCCCCCTCAGATGACTTGACATGATTGGCCCCCCTCAGATGACTTGGCATGATTGGCCCCACCCTCAGATGACTTGGCATGATTGGCCCCCCCCCTCAGATGACTTGGCATGATTGGCCCCCCCTCAGATGACTTGGCATGATTGGTCCCCCACTCAGATGACTTGGCATGATTGGCCCCCCTCAGATGACTTGGCATGTTTGCCCTCCCCCTCAGATGACTTGGCATGATTGGCCCCCCCCCTCAGATGACGTGGCATGATTGGCCCCCCCCCTCAGATGACTTGGCATGATTGGCCCCCCCCTCAGATGACTTGGCATGATTGGCCCCCCTTCAGATGACTTGGCATGATTGCCCCCCCCTCAGATGACTTGGCATGATTGGCCCCCCCTCATATGACTTGGCATGATTGGCCCCCCCCCCCCCTCAGATGACTTGGCATGATTGGCCCCCTCAGATGAGTTGACATGATTGGCCCCCTCAGATGAATTGACATGATTGGCCCCCCCTCAGATGACTTGACATGATTGGCCCCCCCTCAGATGTCTTGACATGATTGGCCTCCCCCCCCCTCAGATGACTTGACATGATTGGCCCCCCCCCCTCAGATGACTTGACATGATTGGCTCCCCCCCTCAGATGTCTTGACATGATTGACCCCTCCCCTCAGATGAATTGGCATGTTTGCCCCCCCCCCTCAGATGACTTGGCATGATTGGCTCCACCCTCAGATGACTTGGCATGATTGGCCCCCTCAGATGACTTGGCATGATTGGCCCCCCCCCTCAGATGACGTGGCATGATTGGCCCCCTCAGATGACTTGGCATGATTGGCCCCCCTCAGATGACTTGGCATGATTGCCCCCCCCCCTCAGATGACTTGGCATGATTGGCCCCCCTCAGATGACTTGGCATGTTTGCCCCCCCCCCCTCAGATGACGTGGCATGATTGGCCCCCCCTCAGATGACTTGGCATGATTGGCCCCCACCTCAGATGACTTGGCATGATTGGCCCCCCCCTCAGATGACTTGGCATGAATGGCCCCCACCTCAGATGACTTGGCATGATTGGCCCCCCCTTCAGATGACTTGGCATGATTGGCCCTCCCCTCAGATGACTTGGCATGATTGGCCCCCCCCCTCAGATGACTTGGCATGATTGCCCCCCCTCAGATGACTTGGCATGATTGCCCCCCTCAGATGACTTGGCATGATTGGCCCCCCCGCTCAGATGACTTGGCATGATTGCCCCCCTCAGATGACTTGGCATGATTGCCCCCCTCAGATGACTTGGCATGATTGCCCCCCCTCAGATGACTTGGCATGATTGCCCCCCCCCTTAGATGACTTGGCATGATTGCCCCCTCCTCAGATGACTTGGCATGATTGCCCCCCTCAGATGACTTGGCATAATTGGCCCCCCCCACCTCAGATGACTTGGCATGATTGGCCCCCCCTTCAGATGACTTGGCATGATTGGCCCCCCCCCCCTCAGATGACTTGGCATGATTGCCCCCCCTCAGATGACTTGGCATGATTGGCCCCCTCAGATGACTTGGCATGATTGGCCCCCCCTCAGATGACTTGGCATGATTGCCCCCCCCTCAGATGACTTGGCATGATTGCCCCCCTCAGATGACTTGGCATGATTGGCCCCCCCCCTCAGATGACTTGGCATGATTGCCCCCCTCAGATGACTTGGCATGATTGCCCCCTCAGATGACTTGGCATGATTGGCCCCCCCTCAGATGACTTGGCATGATTGCCCCCTCCTCAGATGACTTGGCATGATTGCCCCCCCCTCAGATGACTTGGCATAATTGGCCCCCCCCCCTCAGATGACTTGGCATGATTGCCCCCCCTCAGATGACTTGGCATGATTGGCCCCCCCCCCTCAGATGACTTGGCATGATTGCCCCCCTCAGATGACTTGGCATGATTGGCCCCCCCTCAGATGACTTGGCATGATTGCCCCCCCCCCTCAGATGACTTGGCATGATTGCCCCCCTCAGATGACTTGGCATGATTGGCCCCCCCCCCTCAGATGACTTGACATGATTGGCCCCCCCTCAGATGACTTGGCATGATTGGCCCCCCCCCCCTCAGATGACTTGACATGATTGGCCCCCCCTCAGATGACTTGGCATGATTGGCCCCCCCCCTCAGATGACTTGACATGATTGGCCCCCCCCTCAGATGACTTGGCATGATTGGCCCACCCTCAGATGACTTGACATGATTGCCCCCCCCCCCCTCAGATGACTTGGCATGATTGGCCCACCCTCAGATGACTTGACATGATTGCCCCCCCCCCCCTCAGATGACTTGGCATGATTGACCCCCCCCCCCTCAGAAGACTTGTGCCAGGCGGCGGAGGCAGCACCGACCACACCTCCAGGTCGCCACAACAACAGCCACTCTCATATATCTGACGCCAATTGCCATCTCTAGTCGTAGAGAAAGAAGTAAAAAGGAACATGGGCAGCAGTGATAATTGTAATGAAAAGCCTTTTTCTAGGTGGCTTTAATAACTGCCCGGCGCATTGATCTGGTACCAGGCTGTTCAGTTCCCGGCTCTTCTCGTTACATGGACCCTTGATCTTCGACTTTCGCATCGGGGACTTCACCTTCCTAGACGCTCGGCAGCCAGACTCACCTGGATGGTTCCAATCTATAAACCGAACGTCTCGTCTGGAATATTTTAGCAGTGTTATTCAACAGGTGTATGGAGGCCGGCAGGTTATCTTTTGGTGTCGTAATTGCGCTCTTTCCGCGCTAGTATGAGGTGGCTTGGCAGTCCTTCCGGTTTACCCTTTCTCTTCGTTGGATATTCTCTGTGTCAGTGTCAGTAATTATATCTTGAATTTTTATAGAGCGTTGTCTCTAGCACCTGTACTGTCGCCTTGTATCGTTCGCCCTTGACACGATTGTTTCTTCTCCTTTTTTAAAATTTTCCCACACCTCATTTTACCTCCAGTCAGTTTCTATTTTTTGGGAACCAAATATGTCCTTTGATTGGTACTTTATTGTCCTCACCTAAGTTTTTATCTCTCTGTTAAGGATTCCTTTTTTCAAGGCGATGTTGTCCCTAGTGTTTATTTAATGATTCACAATGATATCATGAAGGATGTATGCCAGCAGGCTCCCAGCTGCTGGCATACACGCACAGACAAAAGCAATAAAGTGTTCGTTATTTCTTTCGTCTATATATCTATTTCGTCTATCTGCTCATGCATGATTATATTTTTTTACGAATATCCTGTCTGATTTGCTATGACATTCTTGCCGCATATTGCGAGGGACATGAGCAGTAATATTATTCACGATGACCATAATAGAGTAAATCTTGTATTATTTACTATTTTTCAGTTGTTCAACATTTTGAAGTAGGGAAAATTTCCCACAAATAATATATAGAACTCGGTGGACAGCTCAAGAAGAGTAAACCACTGTTGGTGCACCAGCGACTTGGTACAGATATGATCACTATTGGTTTAGACTAATCAAGTCAAGAGACCTTCAGCTGCCTCCAGAGTGCTACTCCACTTGGAGCCAAATGGGCAAGCCATGAGTAGTATAAACCAGGACAGAATGGGTTTTTTCTTTTGCTTTTCGTTTTGCTTGGTTTGCTTTTCTGATGTCCCCGTTCCGTCCTGGTTTATATACTACAGCCATGCAGAGGCTCTTCTGATGTCCCCGTTCCGTCCTGGTTTATATACTACAGCCATGCAGAGGCTCTAAACAATGCTGGTCGGAACTCCACTCTGGAGTGCAGTGCACGATATGGATTTGAAAAATCGTGTCACGCAAATACATATTTGTGAAAAAATAACCGGTGCTATTTCCGTGTAAGACTACCAGACATCAGGCCAAACTGGCGTTTGAAATAACCGAAGGTACATTAAGCCGTATAAAGCACAAATTCCTAAGTCTTGGAATAAAATTCACAGGATCTCCTAATATCATTAAGAAACTTAAAACTAGAACCCCACTGGTGAGAGGCGCCAACAAGCTTGGCACAGATGGAACAACTATTTATTAAAAATTGAAAGTGTAGACGCACGACCAGCTTCTCTAAACACCTGAGAGGCAGTCACAACTACACCGCGATACTACGGAAAAACTAAACGCAAAATATCTGAGTATAAATACGTTTATAATATAATTGTATAATACGTTTATTTGAATTATTATTTATATTATTTTATATTATTATATTATTATATTATTATATTATATATTTATTATATATTATTATATATATATTTATATTATTATATTATATTATTTCTCTGAGTATAATACGTTTATTTGAAACTGGCCAATTTTCAGGCTACATTGGCTCACAATGTAATATACTAAATAAACAAAATGAACTTCCGACAATCACTTCCATTAGCAGGTACAAGATGTGAATTTAATCCGAAGACAGAAAAGGTTGGGATATTACTATGGACTGAACTAAGCAACCTAACGCAGTCTTAAAAGGAATACAAATGCTAAAAGAAGACCTTCTAACCTAAGGGTTAATGTTTTTATTAAAACGGTTGGCTTACTGTGCATAGTCTTGACAATTTTGAGGTTCTTGTTGACACACTTTGTAGACCATGGTGGAAGCTGCCATCACTGCTTGGTTAACTACACCCTTCTTCGACTGCGCCAGTTCCTAGACACAAAATTTATTCTAATTAAAATTGTAGTGCACACAAGTAACAACAATCTCAATATAAAGTACAATAATTGTGATTATTTGTCGTGTTATCATGCATGACAATTTTTATGGTAATATGTAGAAGACTTCATTTTATTTTGCTTAAGAAAGGAGAGAGGTGTTTCGGATTGTAGTCTTAATTATTTAACATACAGTATGGAATTTGTGGTTAGTATAATTATGTGCCAGATCTACAAATTAACGTATTTTTCAAGCCAGCATATACTTTACTCACCAAAACTAAAAGATTCTCGCTGAAGAGAGAGAGATATAAGTCATGTACTTCATATCATATACAGACTGATTGATAGGTTTCTTAGGTAAATTATCTTAATTAATATAAGAGCTTCCACTTCGTCATTGACCTGTTCGCTAGGTTAATGCTGTGAAGATGCACATTCATATTAAAGACAGGAGAGTATCAGTGGAAACTGAGGCTCGATACTCGAAATGACACCCGACCAGTCACATGTCATATCTATGTATGTATGTATGTATGTATGTATGTATGTATGTATGTATGTATGTATGTATGTATGTATGTATGTATGTATGTATGTATGTATGTATGTATGTATCTATCTATCTATCTATCTATCTATGTAAATAAAATGGAAATGTCGTTTGTTCAAAATCGCTAATCTCCGAAAGTTCTTCACTGATTGCTTTGAAATTTTCACACAACGTTCCATTCTCATCTGAGCAGGTTTATATATACATACTATATAGATGTCACGTCTGCGACGGTAAAAAAAAGACATGCTTTTTCTGAAAAGCTGTTTTTCATGTGTTTTTCATGTGAGGGAAATCTTAGAAACCTCTTTACCTATTTTTTTTTTTAATTTTGACACAACGTTGCATTCGAATAGGCGCCTCTTTTTATATTACTACTATATAGATGCCACCCCTGTGACAGGTAAAAACATGCGTTTTTTTAAAACAGCGCCATCTGTTGCAACATGCACGCTACACTTAATATGTCACGAATTCCATTTCAATGTTTCCGATTGCATTGATAAATTTTATTTCATAGATTTCGATTTATTTTATTTTTTATTGAAATATTTTGTGAGACATTGTGTTAGAATTGAGCTGTGTGTTGTTTACCATACCGTTCATTTCGTAAGTATAAGTATAGATGCCACACCTGTGACAGGTAAAACTTTGCTTTTCTTGAAAAGAAGCAACATCTGTTGCGTGTAAGAGCAACACATATGCTATATTAAATATGTTGCAATTCCATTTCAATGTTTCTGACTGCATTAATAAATTGAATTTTCATAGTTTCTGACTTTTTTTGTGAGTGTGTGAATTGTGTTGGAATTGACCTGTGTTGTTTACCATACCGTTGATTTCGTTAGTATAGTTTATTTTTTTATTTTTTCATATTTTAATTTCATTTTTTAACTGTTTTTCTTATATTTCAGTGATGGGAACATTAGGTCACTTGATGTTCCCAATTTTCTGATGGGAACTTCAGACCATTTGGTAAGGCATCGGACGAGGGAGTGGGGAACGGTGGGGAGGACGAGGGGACAAGGGAGGGGGTAATGGTCGGGAAGGATGAGAGGATTGGGGAGTTTGGGATGGTGGGGACGAGGGGATGGGGGAATGGAGAACGATGGGCAGGACAAAGAGACAGGGGAGTGGGGCATGGTGGGAAGGAAGAGGGGATGGTGGAGTGGGGAATGGTTGGGAGGTCGAGGAGACGGGTGAGGGGGGGAATGGTGGGGAGGACTGGTGGACAGGGAAGGTTGATGTGGCTCTGCAACGCATGTGCGTTGCAGAGCCACATTGATGTGTAATCTTTCTAAACCTGTATGTTGCATACATGGCTATATGGCTAGCATGCCACCGATAAGTTTAAAAACACTTGAAGTTTTAATTTGTTTTCGTTTTGTCAGGGACAAGCAACCTGTGTATGCGTATGTGCTAGGCTTGTGGTGACGTCCACTTAAGGGCAAACTACAAGCCCAGGATGTAACTCTACAAGAGTTGACAAAATATCGGAATTAGTAACTGGGCGTCCACAATGCAAGCCGAGTTGGTAACAATACTGGTAGCACTCGAAATTATTGACAACACTGAAGTAGACAGCTTAATTATTTCTGACTCCCTTTCCTCACTACGAGCAATAAACAGTTTGCAATCAAGTAATAACGTGCTTGTCTTGGAAGCTAGACGTAGATATGTAAGAATACTTAGCAAGAGGGTAAATATAAAAATGCTGTGGATTCCTTCTCACATTGGCATGCAGGAACATGACAAAGTTGACGCCCTTGCTAAGGCTACAGTAAATAAAGATAGTACTGAACGGAATCTTGAGTTATCAAATAGGTCCCTTAAAAGTGTCATTAGACAAGAACTCCTGGATGGATTTGAAGAAAGTAGAACTGTACAAACTGGAACTAGCAGGTCCATTGTTCATCACAATGAAATGTGTGAAGTAAAACATGTGTATGGGGCAAGTAACAAAGTCAGTAGACTAACAGATGTTGTCACAGCTCGTATAAGACTTGGCTACAAGTATCTCTGGCAGTTCGGCTTATATAGGGATCTAGATGAAGTAAAGTGTAAAGTGTTTGGACAAAGACAGGGACACACACTCGAACACTACATCTTGGATTGTAGTAAAATTGAGCCATTTAGAGATAAATCTAAGCTCACTCTGTATGATATGGCAACCTATCTTATTACCATGGATAAATTACCTGTAATCCATGCACTGTATCCATATTTCGCTTCCAGTAGATAAACGACATATGAGATGAAGAAACAAGTAGTGTATTGTGAAGATTAATAATAAACAGAAGCTCCCCTATGACTATCTCCATTGGTCAAACTAGTATGTATTAGCGATAAGACCTACCATTAATGTATGATGACTTACTGTAAATGCATAGTTCTTGAAATAGCACTTTCTCTGAAACTAGCTGACGTTGTAACTATAAGGTGAGAAGAATAGATGAAATTGTTTATGTAATAATCTAAGATGTGGTCTGATAAAGACCTTTTATGCCCTCTGTAACTATTTTTGCGCTACCGCTCACAGGATGGGTATGGGGTGCACAATAAACTAGCTGCCCCCGGTGGCAACAAACAAAATCAAATCAAGAGTTGACAAACTCCGGGGTGATTAGAGGCATTAAATTAAACGAAATGTGTCCAAACATTTATGTCCCACCAGGATTCGAACCCGGGATTCCCGAGTATTAGTCCCAACTGTACTACCAAAACCCATGTATTAAAGTTACAAAATATATTTCGATGAAACTAATGCCCTGCACTTACATAGATTAAAAGGTTATGATAAATATTAATTGTAAAAGTAGTCACTTTAAAGCCAAAGAAATAAAGCATTAATTTTACTAACCATAATGTAAGTAATTGCTTGTGGGTGAGGGTTAGCGTGGAAGTGCAAGCCTGTGAGCCAGTTGATGACACGAGGCAACAATACACCAGAGTCGTCATGGGTAGCAAGGTGCACTACAAGTTGAACGCATTGACTACTCTCACACAGCATCACCGCATCCAGCAAGAACTCTCTGCATGGTATATGAGCAAACATCAACAAATGTTGCCACAGACAAAATGTTACACTTATCAAAATCACAATTACATAATCCTTAAGTATTAAACATTTGTTCTACATTCCAGATCATTGTCTTTCCACATTTTCTTTTATAACACCTTAGTACGTATAGTAACTGAAGGCTTACTATTTTTGATAGCAAGCTGATAATGAAAACAAAAATGTTTTGAAGCCTCGCCCTACTAGCGTTCTATTAAGCGGGATCAAACCAATCATTTTATACTCCAAACTGATCAATATAATTATTAAGACATACTTCGCACATGTGTTGCATCACTAAGATATCATTCTTAATGGTTTGCATTATATGAACTTCTCATATATGTTAGCTTATGCCTCATTCAGTATTTTTTATCTTATTTATTTATATATACAAGAAGATACATTGGGTTTGTAAGATTACATAACATCTATCATTTTACATTCTTGCAAAGCCACTAACATGCATAGCATTTCAGGCAAGTCCTTAATCTAACAGATAATTATAGGTAGGTAATTTGCAGCCAAATTTGAAGAATATGTATAGGTACATTTTATGTATGGGTATATTTAGGAAAATTTGATGAATATTAATAGGTACACTGACGTAAAATTTTAAGGTTATTAATAGGTACATTGCAGCAAAATTTGCATTCAACATAACAAATATGATATAAATTGATAGCAGTGATTACAATGTTGAAGTTGCATGTCTTAGGTACAATTATTGGGGGAGTAGGTAGCAAACTTAACCCAATTATACCTATACAAAATTAAGCTGAATTATTCTATTTTGTTCAAAAACACTTTGCCTATTAGTGGCATTATTTGGCATGTATCTTCTGTACCTTCAAATATACGTCTCTATTATGATGTATATATGCTTTTTATGAATAAAATTGTATAATATTATTATCATTATTCAGAAAATCCGTAAAAGCCGTGACGAGGGTTCGAACCTATACGAAGGGTGTTCCTACGCACACGCTCTAGCGACTAGACCACGACGTGGTGTGTTGTGGTCTAGAGAGTGTGTCTGGGAACACCCATCACATAGGTTCGAACCCTCGTCACGGCTCCTACGGATTTTCTCATTGATGCCGTCATGTTAATGTGATACTCTCTGTGTATTATTATTATTATTACTATTATTATTATTATTATTATTATTATTATTATTATTATTATTATTATTATTATAATTATTATTTGATGAACAAATCCACAAGGGCCTGGATGACGATTCGAACCTATGGACTGGATGTCCTAGTCAATTTCTAGATTGTGATTTATGTGTATATTATTATTATTATTATTATTAATATTATTATTATTAATATTATTATTATTATTATTATTATTATTAATATTATTATTATTATTATTATTATTATTAATATTATTATTATTATTATTATTATTATTAATATTATTATTATTATTATTATTATTATTAATATTATTATTATTATTATTATTATTATTAATATTATTATTATTATTATTATTATTATTAATATTATTATTATTATTATTATTATTATTATTATTATTATTATTATTATTATTATTATTACTATTATTATATTACTTGCTCTACCATTCATTAAACAACATTACCAAAACTGTTTTGATATAGTTATACCCACAAGTATTTTCACTCCTGCAACTATCCACTTTTTTATATATTTTTGTTTGATGGCGTTTGTGGCAAGTAGTAAACTTGTAAAACTCCAAGAATAAAGTTCCAATTAAGTCGATTTTAAATTTAAACAGAGTAATAATAAAATCCCCCTACAGCTTACCTGTAGCCTTCCTTAGCACTGTATGTGTCCCAGACACTCTCCAGGTCCTCCTCCAGTTGGATGTGGCCCAAGAGGTTAACAAGATGAGAGAATGCATGAGGCCGCTGCAACTCCAACTCTAAATTCTCTGTCATCGATTCAGAAAGACTTTCTAGTGCTGAATCAATCTGAAGGAAATAAAATTAAAATTTTAGTTCATTATCATTGCTGATATTTTAAGCTTAGTGTTGCCTTTTTAAGACTCATCTGAGTGACAGGGTTGTTGTTGTTGTTAATGATTCGCTACTTGGAACAACAAATTCCAAGCAGCACAGGCTGCTTGGAATTGGTGAGCCCGTAGAGAGCCCATCTTGGTGAGCCCGTAGAGTGACAGGGGTAAAAATCTCTGCTGCCATCATGTACAGGTTCTCTAGGCTTATCAAATAATTGGAATGTAAAATTTAAGTTAATAATATACAAACATTTCAGAGACACTTAAACATAATGAAAATAAATAAGTAAATGTTACAATGAACGTTAAAGTAACACAAAAAAATGACTTGCTTCTGTGAGAGGTTCCCCAACATCCCATTATTGCCTTCATGTATTAAGTTTAAGTGCCAATTTCTTAAAGACACTTAGTAATAAGGTACATTGTAAAGATTACTGCAGCCAAACTGTCTCAAGATCTGTGTCATATTGTGCTCTTAACACTGATTAATGTTAATTTTCTCAAAAGAAAAATGATGAGTGTTAAATTAGATAATTTAACTTACATGACTTACATGATTTGATAGCATATAAATACTTGGATTCTTGATCAAATGAAACTAAGTTTATCGGTAGTTTAGATGTAGGTAAATTATTTGCTTTCATTGCTAAAATGTTCAAAGTTCGGTTGGAAAAGGAAATAATAAATCTATATTGTAGAGTATTTTTTTCTTTCTTTACACATGAAGGGAGGGAACTTGTGACTTGGTAGAGCTCTTCCTCCCACTGCTAATATAAAGCCTTTTCTGACTACTTTTCACTGGAAAAGATCAGCTAATCGTTTTACAACCAGGTCCTGAATTACTGCTGGATGAAGAGAAGCAGACAGGCAAAAATGGGTAGTTTTTTTTTTATTTTTATTTTTACATGCAAAGCATGCAACTTAAATACAATAAAAACAACACAGAATACAGAACAGAACAAAAGAAAACAATAGACCACCGGCCAGAAGGGCCGACAGCATGTCACAATAAACCACAAACACGATAAAGACACAGAAAAATACAGCATACAACAAGGTATAATACAATGGCATTCAAGGTATAATATAAAACAATGGCAAAGTATAATACAAAGGCAAACTAGCACAATAACATCACAAAACAAAACCGTCATAAAACAAAACATACATCAAAGGCACAACAGGGAACATAACCGTACAAACACAATACATCCCAAACAAAACATAAAGAGCAAACACGTACAACAGGTAAAGCACGCCATAACAAACGGAAGGCAAAACAAAATGGCACAACCGAACAAAGAGCACTCGCCAACAGCCTGAAGGGCACACAATATGACATACACAAGCGCATACGACATCCACACAAATACACAGGAACCGCACACCCACCCACCAGCCATACAAAGAAAACCTACAACATACACCGGAGCACGCAGGAACCGGGAAACAAAACCCACCCCACCCACTCACACACACACACCCCATCCGCACCGTACACAACAGGAAACACAGAATACACAGAAATCATTTGCGAGGAACAGCGTGAGAAATGTACTTCTTCGGGTAAACATCGGTAGGATACTTTGCCTTGTAAGCCTCCCAGACAAAATCTTCAAGGTCGGTAGGGTTTTTGATCCCCCTCGCCCGAGGGTGTATCATAAACTCAGGAACATCTATATCGGGCGGCATCGGCCAACGCCTGAGGTCACTGACGCAAGTCGCATAACGAGGCCGGGGAGCGCCATCCACGCCCATCGAGGAAGCAGACGACGCTGGAGAAGCGGACGAGGGCCGCCGAGACTGCCACGAAGTCGCACACATAGGAGCAGGGGCCGGACGACGAGACTGTAGCACCTCCATGGATACCGCAGGAGACACAGAAGAGACTGCTGGAGACGGAAGAGGCGGCAAGACCGCTGCCGAGGAAACGGGTAACGAGGAAGGGGCCACAGAACTCTCAGAGCGAGCATCCTTTCGCAACACCATCACCAGGCCACCCCGTTCACCACCAACCACAGCAGGGGGAACCACACCCCACGAAGAACCGGAGCCACCCCACGCAGGCGACGCACCTGAAGCAGGACCCTCGGACACCAGACCAGGAGGGGAGGCCGAAACGCCAGCACCGGCATCCTCAGGCAAGTGTACTTCCGCCACCACCGTAGTGTGCACCACATCCGGAGCCACCCCACCGTCAACGGAAGGACGACACTCGTCGAAGTCGCCAACTTCAGCCCACGCAGAAGAACGCCGGGAACGCTTAGTCTCGGGCCGCACATCACCAGACCCGGAAGCAGACTCAGCGACCCGGGCAGCACCAGCCGACCGAGCCGACGCACGCCGCAGTACGGCAGCCTCCTCAACCACACAGGGCACCAGGCCAGGCACATGAGGGAATGCCAGATCCACCCCAGCTCCCAGCACAGCCGGAACAGACGGCGAGGGTGCAGGGACCGGGACAGACACAGCAGAGGAAGAACTGGAAGACGAGGGGTTCGAGCAAACGGCAGTGGGAAGAGGCTCAGGGACACCAGCCGGAGCAGGCGGAGCACTAGGCGAGGACACAACCTCCGGAGGAGATGCGGCAACAACAGGGGGCGCAACAGCAACAGCTGATACAGAGGGCACCTCCTCAGCCGAAGAGACGTCCACACCCACCAAATCATCCCCCACAGGATGTGGTGGAAAATCCTCCTCACTGAAGAGATTCACTGGTGCAACAGCAGGCACAGAACAGTCAGCAGCCAGATGGCCCAAAAGACCACAACGATAACACGTCCGCGGCTGACGGGCGTAAAACACCCGAACGTTGTACCCCATAAGGCGCACAGAGGACGGAATATCCGCCCGGAGTCTCATGCCCAGGGTGCGAATGTATGACCTCACACCCTTAAGAGGACTAGACAACACCACGTTCACCCTCACACTAACAACTGCGCCAAACCGGCCGAAATACCGCCGTAGCAGAGCCTCTGGAAACTCCAAGGGAGCCCCATGCACACTGATGTAAGTAAGTGCACCACTTCTATCCGAGAGGGTGACAGTGCCCACACCATCCGGCAGAGGTAGTGTCCGCCCCTCGGACACTACCCGATATCGCGATATGTCACCTCCTCTGTGAACTTCACAGTTGCCCTACAGGCCGTTACCAACTCGACCCCATAAATCGCAAACACAGGGACAGAGAGCATGTCACAAGCCAGGGCAATCTCCGGGTAACCAGCCCGCACAGAGAACTCTAGTCCCACAGACTGAGCCCGGACGACAGGGGGTAGAGGGACCCCCATCGTAACACCACGTCAGCACAGGCGAGCAGAGACACACCCGCCTCCAACCGGCCGAAACGGGCAAACAACACCAACTGCTGGAGCGCCGATGCAACACGTCTGTCCCGTACCGAAGCTAGGGCCAGACCTGATTCCAAAAATGGGTAGTTGGTGGTACCGCGCTGCCCAGGGCTCACATAACCACGGTACTGAAGAACCAGACCAAGAACAAGAACTGTTCTTGGTCTGGATCAAGGTAAGTGTATGCAAATATTATTTAAATCCTTCATGAATGTATTATTCCTCTGCATGCAAAAATATAATTCATAATAATAATTCATTAAGTCGGGAGAGAGGAAACAAGTGCATTCATGTACGTTTGGCTTTTATCGCGGAAGATGAGGTTAGGTTAAGTTTTCTTTGCAACATTAGTATAAAAAAAATTCGGGTTTGACCATATTCAATAGTACTGCTTTCTACTTTCTAATTGCTTTATTCGTCAATACATGTACGATTGTCCTCAACGTTACTATAAGTACCGCCTAAACAGGAGGATGGGCTGTTCCATTATACAGCCACCGGAGCATTTCACGAAAGGGTGACAGAATGAACCGACTGATCCATTACAAAGCATGAAAACTTCCCAATCAACTGTTGTTATTGTTAGCCTCCTGGTGCTTCGGAGCTCATTAACTGTTTAATAATTGTAAACAAAGCCGCCAAAGATTGAGAAAAGATGTACAAGTTCGTAAGTGCTTGTGTAACTGCTTCGTGAATCTGGCCCCAGATTTCCCTGGGCTACAGGCAAACGAGAACCCCTGTTCTTAACAGTCGAACGAACATGGACGTAGTCTGCAGTTGAAATTCCTTCCTGAGTGGCTGAAATAAGCACCCTCCATCGCCAAAACCCGCAAAACCCTCGGAAAAGGACGGGAGAGAAAGGGGGGGCAGTGAACAAGTGAACTCCAAGAAAAAATCCTAAATAGCAAGCCGGCAGAAACGGAGAGCCGTAAAGAAGTCCGTCATGGAATCACACAGGAGCAGGACGAATAGCTTTAGAACAGAATCTGTGGTAGCAGCACCTGACAACATTTCAGAGGAAACCCCAGAGCAGCTCCAAACTGCTCAATGATGACCTCTTGCACTGCACAGAAACACAGTAGATCCACCAACCTGTATGAGATCTATATTCTTCTCCAATTGATGCTGTAGTCAGCTTATGCATCTGAATATAGAGCTGCCACGCCCCGACCTTAAGGGTAATGGTAGGAGGAAACAGAGCAGAGTTTAAAGCTGCAAGGGAAGAGCCTATAAAATAAGCAACTTCCATTCGTTCCAGTGCTTGCAAACAACAACAAAACTTGCTACTTCTGAAAGAAAACAAAAGAGGTTGTTTGCCAGCCATGATGAAGCCGAGATCTCATACTTCAACAAGGAACTCTTAAGAGTTATGAGGCCTGTTACGAACCCAAGACCACCGTCGGAGCACGGAGCAGTGACGACAACGCCATCTGTGAGTCCGCTTCCAAAAACCCCCAATAACATAAATAATACAACACTGTTGTATTATTATTAATTATTACTAAATCTACTAATCATTGTAGTAATTAAAATTAACCAAACGTAGAGTTCACATGTACTAATAATTACATCTGTACAATAAGGCTAGAATTCTTACGTCACCAGA